GTCCAACAGAAATACCAGCACCAACTGAAGACGAAGAAGAAGAAGAAAACCAACATTTCAATTTTGAAAAATTAAAATCTAAATAATATTATATATAATGGGTATTGGTCAAAGTAAAAATGATGCAAATAACAGTATGGAAGACATTAAGACTTTAAGAGTAGATGAAAAAACAAGAGCAGATACTTTAATAATAAAATCTATTCAAGAATGTGTGGCACGAATTGAGAAATTAGAAAAAGAAAAATCTGACAAATTAATATATAAACTTCCTGCTTTACAATTTTGCAATGCTTCGTTAATTTAAATTGATAATATTAAAACATAATTAATATTATTAATTGCTATCATAATCTGTCATTTCACTTTCGGGTAATTTTGTTGAGGCGTTGCTACACATATCATCTATTAAATCTTCTTCATCAACAAAATTAATTTGAAATCTTAATAATTCCTCGTCTGTTGCCCTTCTTTTCAATACCTTATAAAGTTTATGTATCCAAGAATTAGTATGAAAATTATAATTACCTCTACGATAAAATCCACCACATCTACATAGTTTCATTGGCATATTATGATATTATATTAAGTTAGAATATCTTTATTCATCATTTGTAATTTGAAATGCCTGTTCAAAATTGATATGAAACATTTTGTTAATGTCTTTTGAATTCATGTTCACGTAGAAAAAAGAATATGGAGCAAAATTAACGGCTTGATGGTACATATCTAATAATTGCTGTTTATCAACAATGGCGCTATTTTCTTCAATAAAACTCATTAGCTCACTGGCATTTTTCAACCTAAAAATATATAATGAACTGGCATTCAAACGAATGATAGGCGCTAAAACATTGTATTTTTGTGTTGAACAAATCACACTTACCGCATCGTGCCTGCCTCTTGTAAATAATCCATGTAATAATTTACTATATCTAACAAATTTAGGGTCGTCTGCGTGGTCATCTATAACGATTAATATTGAATGCAGTTTCTTTATCTTTTTAGATTTCATATAATTAATTATTTTCTTCTGTCTTTCAATTACATTTTCTAAATCACTTGGATTATAATTATCAAAATAAATTTTCTCTTTTTCATCATCCACGTGCAATTCATCCCTGATATATTTTTTAACTTCTGTAAATGTAGGGTCGTTATGGACGCTGGGGGAAAATATAAATATTCTTGCAAATGAATTTCTATAAACATTCAGTATTAAATTTTGAATAAGGACAGTCTTCCCGCCCGTTGAACTCGCGACTATAATACTTCTAAATGGTAATTTTGGCACGTGCTCATATTTAGATTGTTTGAATTCATATTCAGTTATGTTTATTGGTTTTATTATTGGAACATCTGTCATAGTTGATATTAAAGATATATAGAAAATTATATTTAAAAATGAACTTGTAATTAATATTAAATGGACGTGAGGAACGAGCCTCGCGTGCTAACGCGACCATCATTATGTTATGAGTGGCGGTGAATAACATAATGGAACAGGTTGTCGCGAAGCTTCACGAGGCATCGCCGATGCGTCCATTGCTTCAATTAATAAGCATTGAAGCTAATTAGTTTGTATCTCTCTCGCGTGCAATGAAAACCCCAAGTGCTGTGCCCCACCAATATTCTATTATGCATGAAAATAATAAGATTAAATAATCTAAATAATTATTTTATCTTATTATTTATATGACTATTATCCATTGCAGTTGTGGTAAAACTTATGATGACAAATATTTATTTAAACATTTAAAATCGATGCATCATGAGGAATTTGTAGAATATAGATGGAATAAAGACGATACAATGAAAAAACTTTACAAGAAAAGAAAGACAGAAATTAAAAATAATTTATCTTATTATTTAATATGAAAAGGAGTTATTCAGATTATATTAATATAATAGATGAAATGGAGAATATAGAACAAGTACTAATAACTGATAATAGATGTAAAAAAATATGTTATTTTATCTTAGAATTAATTAAGTTTTTGATACAATATATTAAAAATATAAATGCTAATATAAATGGGAAAAAAGAAAAAAAGTAAAGACAAAGAAAGACCAATACCAGATATTGAAGCACGGAAAAAAACAACAGAAAGTGTTAAATCACTAGGCGAAAGTAAGGCTATAAAATGTGATAAATGTAATCACATAATGAATTTTAAAAATGAATTGACAGTAGATAAAAAAGGTGGAGTCAAAGTTAGTTGTGTCCCATGTATGTTTTCTTATAAAAAAACAGATAAAGATTTTAATATTCAGAAAAGAACAGATGGCGATATGGTTATTGAAACTAACGAACATTTGATTAATGTTAGTTTTAACAGGGACATAAGTTAGTATTTAAAGAGTAGATTTAACATAATTGCACTTTATAAATATATAATTAAATAAATAATTATCTAAATAAATATATAGTAATGTCTGAAAATGAGAATTATACTATTAATGATTTAATGAAGAAGATAACATTAATTGGTAAAAATATTAAAACCTTAAATGATATGATTAAATCCATTGATGACAAAATGAAACCAGTTGAACGCGAACAACAAAGCAACGAAGAGAAGGAGAAGATGAATAAGATTTTTGAAAAGAAAGGGATAGGCAGACCTAGCGGTGATTATGATACCAAGCGTAAAAAATACTGCGATATGTTAAATAAGGGACAAATCAAAAGTCCAAAAGAACAAACATTAGAATATTATAAACTAATTAAGGGCGATGATGATAAATATGTAATGGTTGGAAATTAAAATCTAGATATTTCTAATAATATGAATTTATTAGAATTATTTAGCAACAAGACCTATATAAAATACCTAGTAGTTTGATATTGGAAACTGTGATGAGTTTGACAGAAATCGGGGAATGATTTTGATAGAATCGGGGAATGATTTTGATAAAATCGGGGAATGATTTTGATAAAATCGGGGAATGATTTTGATAAAATCGGGGAATGATTTTGATAGAATCGGGGAATGATTTTGATTATAACCATGCTATGATTATAACATGTAAAATATTATATGTTATAAGTATATTCCAATATTTAATTTTATTTCTTGTAAAAAAGTATTTAAAGAAATAAACACTATATATATATATTATAATAGAAATGGAGTTTCAAAAACTACCAGTTGAAGTTATTAATAATATTATGTCCTATAAATATGGCAAGCCAGAATATATGAAAATAAAGCATAATCATAATGAAACATTGAAGAGAATACAAAGAAGATATAAAATTGACAAAACTGACATAGAAAGGGAAACAAAGCACTGTAATAATTTAGATGGTGATAAAGTAAAGAGACAAATATGTCAATATTATGTTTCTAGGAAGGTTCCATTAAGCATTGAAAGTATTGAAGATATAGTTATGAAAGAAGGGGATGAAATAGATAGCTTACTAGATAAGTATGTAGGATATGAAAGTTATAAAGCAATAATAATAGTTGATATAATTTTACGTGTAAGGTTTCATCATTTTAATTATTTTGAGGATGATGAATATAGCAGTTATGGTTTTGATTTTCATAGTGGTAGACACTTAATGGGTTCTATAGACCAAGATAATATAACTGATGTAATGGAATACGCAGTTGCAACAATATGTAGAAATATTGATAATGAAAGGAATACAATGAATATTGTAGGAGTAAAACACATAAGGTTTATACTAATTATTGATGAACCTGAATAATATAACCATACTATGATTATAACATTTATACCCTTATATGTTATAATTATAATGTAAGTATAGCGTTTTATATATTGAAGATAAAATCCTACAAGGTGGGCCATGCGCAACTCCGGAATATCCAAATTTTGAAAAATGATTAATTATTTGTCTTCTCATTGAATTATTGAAAATGTTGTTTCTTATTGAATAATTCTTCTTAAAATGATATATATATTTATCTCTTTTGAAAAAAATATATTTTCTAAAATATTTTGGAAAATGTGTGTTTTTGAAAATAAACATGTTTAGGTGTATTGATTTTTTCAAAAAAATAATTCAATTTTTGTTTTGGTATGCAGTACTAAAAAATATTTATCAAAATGTGTTTAGACTGTTTCAAAAAATGTTTTAAAATGGCTGTTTTGAGGCGCTTATTCAAAAAATGCAAAAAATCCTAGGGTGGACCCTAGACTTTTGAGTCCGAAAAAAGTTGCGCATGGCCTGTCCTAACTCTCTGATGGTTACAGGGCTCCCTGTCTTTTTTTGTTTTTCGCCTGCATCAAAAACAAAGAGCACCCAACAAATGGTTTCGCGGATCTGGGCCGATGTAAAATGAACAATCAATTTGCACAGAGCCCCTGGTAGAAAAGGGAACAAGGGGAATCAGAAAGCGTCCCCGAACAACTAGGACTCGGATGTTTAGCTCACGGCGGGGCCCAATTACCAATTTTTGCCATGGTTGCAGCCTGCCCAACAATATTACCAGTAGAAACGGATAGGGGATTGACTACCCAAAGGTGATACATGGGTAATATTGTCTGTTGCTCATATTTGGCGGTGGTCTCAGAAAGTCTCAACTAGCGACAAACCCAAACCTGGATCATAATATGAGTGGTTTCGTTTATAGTGATAACTTGCGTGAGCAGAAGGGATGGACTCTTTGCGGAGATCATGTACATGATTTGTTATGTCTGCCAACCACTTGTGACTGCCAAACAGAATACGGGGAAACATTGCCTTGCCACTGTGTCAGCAAGGAAGCTAGGCCCATGTTCGATCATTTTCGAGCTGTCTCTTTGCGCCTTGTTGCGGCGAAGAACAAAAACAAAAACAGCAGAGAGTTCGCCCGGGCTTCCTCCAGCAGCTCCATATTCACTTGGCCATGGGTCAAAATCCCGTACCCCCAGTGAACATCCCAACCCCCACTAAAGTAGACTAAAATGGGTGGTGCACCTACCCCAAAATGGTACCATTGGTTTTGACCCACTTGGGAAGCGCAGGGCAGTGTCATATCCAGAGCCTTGCTGCCGCGGTAGTGGAGGAAGGTGGCATCCGCCTCCTCATCATTGCCTCGAGCTTTGCATTGCACCCGGTGATGCCAGCGCTTAAAAGAACACCCCCCGCCTGAAGGGGGATTCCCCAAATCACGATTTCTAGCCAGCTCACAAAGAGGACAACTTGAATTCCAACTGAAACTCCAGGGGTCACCCGCTGCCCCGAGCCCTTTTTTTGAAGGGGAGCGGGGATGCTCGGCCTTCAGGCCTGAACGAATCCACGTGCCCCATTCTCCTGCCACTCTCCAAGGTCAGCACCCCCAATCCAGAAACAAAGTCGTGTGTTCGAGAAGCAACCAAAAGCAACAGGTCCAAATCCAGGAAATCGATAAGGGAAAAAATGCATTCACCGTTCAGGTTGGAACTCCGTGGCCATTGCCAAAAGGATGATTTCGAAATGGGTCTGAGAAAGGTGCGGCGCCCTTTGGCTAGTCGGCAAGGCCCCGCTTTGTGCAAGAAATCCCATGGCATGGTGGGGGGGGGGGGGGATAATTATGATCTTTTAGTGGTCCATACCATAACCCGTGACTACTCCATCACTTTAAAGAGGATTGCTTTTCTCGCACAAATACGTCCAAAAACCCTGTTTCCACACCCATCACCGGTGGCTGGAAAACACCCCCCCCCCACACTGCTCACCTTCCGGCGCAAGCTCCGAGTGGAAGTTTTCCAGCATCGCCTGAAAAGGCAAGTTCAAAGAGGGGAAATATGCCCTCACCGTCGCAAAGCAATGCATGTGAGGTGGCAGAAACAAATTAAATTGGGCTTCATCACAGGCCGTCAGGCAACCTCAGAACGTGTGGACAAGCATCAACATGAAGAACTGGACCCCCTCACATCCTGGCTTTTCTTGCGGCTTCCCTTTACACAACCGGATCCGAATTCACATGGATCACGGAACGAGTCGTTTTCTTTGCCATGTAGGGCGCATACTAACTCACCTTCAAAAGAGTGACACTGGGCCCAGGGCAGAGAACGAGAGCGGAGCCCCAGCCTTGGTGTAGTCCCGGACATCCAAGTTCTCCGTCTTGCAGTTCCGCGGCTTCTTTCCTGTGTGAAAACAAGCTGGGAGGCAAAGCCCCCCAAAGACACCCCTTGGATGTCTTTCCTGTCTCAACCAATGGGAAAGGCCGCGCACATGATCTTGGCATCCTGGGACTGGCGTGAAGTGATGGGAGGAAACCAAAGGCCTTCAAAGGCGCCCAAAGACCTTGGAAGGATCCTGGGAAGGAACATTCTTGAGTGGTGTTCTGAGATGGCTATGAATTTTAATGGGGAACCCCCTCCCAAATAAGTGGTGGACATAAATCCCCACCTAAATGATGTCCACCAGAGGGCCCCTCATTAAATTCACACCCCATCCATTCTTGGCACTTGGGGATAGCGGGTCCGACTGTCGCTCTTGATTTCCTGATCTTGAACCGATCAGGCACAGCAACTTCAGCTCAATCTTGAAACTTGCAAGTTGTATCTCCGGGTGCTTTCGCTTTCGGGGATGAGTCCAATGTCTTCATTCGAGAGGACAAAGCCTGGGCATCCCTCAACGGGTGGATCGTCAAAAAATGGCCGCCGTGCAAGGCAATGGCCGCTTGTGCGCTTTGCTCAGTTGTTCAGTGACCCTGGAAAAAAAGGGAACCCTTTTGACACGTGGCGCTTCAATGTCGGTGAGGACATGCGGAAACGCAGGTCACAGGGGCATGCCGCCACCTGAACGGGCAACTTGTGCCCCGCGAAGCCGATGTGCAGGGTGTCACATGCCAACAGAGGTGGCACCCTCAGCCGGGCTCATAAAATCAGTGAGGTGCCAAGGCCAAGTGGGAGGGCCTGGACATCACACTGCACTGGCCACCAGAAAGCGCCAGACCAGAGACTTGCCGTTTGCCAGCTCAACAAGACCAGCAATAACTCCACCACACCTCCGAAGAGGTAGAGAAGAAGCACCACCGTGGACCACCAACAGAAGTAAGTCCAAGCCCGAAGGGGAAAAACAGCTCGGAGCACCTTCACCGAAAAGGCGTTCAGAGGAAAGAAGCAAGCCACGGACAGAGCCAATCCCCATCGCAGAGATTGGAGCATGCAAGGCCAGGGAATCCTACACGGGTACCACGAAGTGTAAGGGCAGCGCCATGGATCTGCAGAATAGGGCCGCCCCATGGAGCCGAGACAGTGTAGACCGCCTGGTAGAAGTAGCCACCAGAAAGTGCCGAGAGAAGACCAAAGAACAGGGCCCATCCCTGCATACAAAGATGGGCACATGCAATGATGCCCCCTCCAAACTGATCCACACCTCGAGGCCAGGGTGAAGTAGAGACAAGTCCCACGAAGTAAAGGAGCCAAGAGCTGGCCGAACAAAAGCAGCGCATCAGTCGAAGGAGTCGACAGGTGTATGAAAATCTTGAGGAGCCAGCAGAAATACAGGACATACACCATACAAGCTCGATGAAGAGCTCGACGACAACCAGAGGAACCGAGCGGCCGCCAGGGGAGGCTGCCTTGTTGGACGCCTCACCCCTCCATGGAGAGGCAGCGAGGCCCAGGAGGCTCAGCTCCCAGAACCCAACGGCTCAGTGGCTCACTCTGAGCCGAGAGGCCTAAAAAAAAAAGGAACCCTTTTTGGGGAAGACAATTTTTAGTGGGGCAGCCACCAAAAATGGGAAAAAGGGTGCCACGGTGCCACTGAACAACTGATTTTGGTTCCCGGCCTTTGGTGGCCCTGCCGCTGATCACGTGCTCTAATCCCTCCAGGCCGGGGATGGGCACCACGCTGCCTGCGCGCAGAGAGCAAACAAAAACACTTGACGCGCGACAGGGCTGCGCGTGTCAATCTCTTTCATCAGGCCTGAGGCCCCTGCAGTCAGGTTAAAAGGACTGCTGTTTAGATATTCTTTGGGCTTTGCTAAGTGGACATGGGGCCAAATCCTGCCCTTGCACCCAAGCGCAGCAAAGGGCCCCTTGAGGTTCCAAATGGGCCTCCTTTGAGCCCAGCTCAGCGACGCTCAGCCATGTATTGAGCAGCCGAGAGCGAAATGAGAACAACCATTTGAAAGACACGCTATTCTAGAAGACGCCCCTTGTGCTGCTCGGTGATTCTTGGCAAACGCCCAGACCTTCAGGCCATGAGAAAAAGGGTGGCCAAAAGTTCATTCGCAAGCAACTTCCCCCATAAAAAAGCTTCAACATGCGCACCACTGGCTGGAAAATAATTCAAGCGAATACTTGCCGCCAAACGCGCCTGATTCGTCCACCCATCCCATCAGTGACAACCTCAGCACGAGCCACATGCACCACCAACAAAGGGCTAGCCCAGGCTCTGTGGGGAAGTTTGCCTACCATCTGTGGCGTGCACGCGCCTGATTGGCCGAGAAAGGTCCAGTCGGTTTATCACTAAAACGGTCTTCCTCAGTAAACCATAAAAAACTCTATGACATCACCAAGTAAGTTGACTCGCCTGACATACGCGATGAAGTCATGGTCCAAAAGTCAAGGCCGTTTCAGCCCTGCATCAGCTCACCGCAATTCAATATATCCCCAACAATCCGAAGGATCACCTACTCATTGAATCCTGGAGCACCCTTCGTTACATAAATTTCTGCCCTTAGCCCAAACGTATTGCAAAACCAGGGGTCGTCACCAAAATATGGTAAACGTACACTTTTTCCTGCTTCGAGCGTTTTTCCCAAAACCGGGCTGGTCGGTCCTCCAAGATGATCGGTCGCTGAATATTCAACAGGAGCGAGCAGAAATCAAAGTGCAAAACGAGCGCAAATATCCGCAAAACGAGCGCAAATATCCGCAAACAAGTGTTTTTTTTTTTTTTTAACGTAACAATCCCGCCTTCCTCTGGATGGAATAAGGGGATGTGGTCGAGCGTTTTTCGGGGGGCGAGCGTTTTTTGGGCGGTCGAGCAGAAATCGGTAAGTCGAGCGTTTTTTTCTCGCACCTAAACAAAAAGGGCACGTTGGGTGCCTCAGGATGGTTTCATGGTAGTTCATGACATTTCTCAAAATAATTGGTGAGACGCACACACACACACAGTCGATCAGACTGACCCTACAGCAAATGTGTGATGATATGTGTGTGTGCGCACATATATGCAGGGTAGGTTTCAAGTTCCCTGGGGAATGGCCAAATCGAATCAACCTGCTCCAGATTCACGAGCGCAGCTGCCAGCTACACCTTTAAGTAAGAAAAGGACAGGTTAAAGGGGCACACTTTGCACCTCTAACAAAGACAGTGTTCAAATAATTCAGCCACAAAAAGAGCCCAGCGAAGTTAGTATTTGTTTCGTTCACCAAAAAGCGTCACGTCAAACAAAAACAACTGTATGCGTTCGTCTGCGTCCCCTGTAGACACCCCACCAATAAAACACTCTCTCGCAAAGGGCCCAATGGTGACATGCAAACCAGTCAGAAGGGGAATGTAGCAAGCACAAAGCAATCAACCAAGCAAAGCAACAAATACAACGCATCAAAATGCAAAGTGACACGTACGGCCTCAGTTTCAGTGAAAGCTTGGAAACGCAAATCGGTATCTGTTGTTTTAGGGGATCCCCGGAAAATCGTGCTTCTTTCCTGCTGGTTTCCCTTGAACGCCTAAAAAAGACACACCCCACGGGCTCGTTTTTTTTTTCTGTTTTTTTTTCCTTTTTCTCGGCTTTCCATAGCCAACCCAAAGCCCGCCCGTCTCCCCAAATTTTCCGGCGGCTGAGAGGGCGAGGGGCCAGTTCTTCATGGCCATCCGCGAGTCATCCCCAGGCCTGGCGCACAACCCAAAGTGCTTTGCTCTTTGGGTTTCCCTGTAATATTGCTAGGTCCTCCAATTGAGAGGTTAGAATACGGGTACCCGATTTTTTTCTGTAGTCTATTTTAGTAGGGGAACCCTCCCCAAAAAAGGTAAAAAGGGCACTACTGAGGGACCTAGATAGCCATCAAAAGCAAGGAGGGTTCCAAAAGGGGGGCTTTCCAAAAGGGGGGGGCACAACCCTTTGGGTCAAAACCAAAACTGGTATCAGGTTGGTCTACCCAAAGCCAGGTGAAAAAATGCAAATGTGGACAAAGCTTGTAATCTTAAAGACCCTGGGGGCGGTTGGTATGGTTTTGCCTGTTTCCGTCCTTGTGGGTTTGCTCCAGACCTGCAAAGCGAGTTCAGGAATGGGTTGTACAAAAAAAAAGGCGTCTCGTTTTCCTTCCGGCCCATGTAAAGAATCAAGAAGGCGGCGGATCTGTTGGAGAAACCAGCGGAAGGGAGGGTCGGAGTGTCCACTTTGGGTTTTCCCTTGTGTCTTGAATAGGACGTGCACCCAAAACGGGCTTCGGCTTTCAATTTGGGGTCCCTTGAAAGCCAACCAAAAGACGACAGAGCCGCAGCAAAACGACGCACCACCGTTGGCTTTTCAATGCAACTGAGCCAGCAAGTGATTGAACTTTTGAGTTCCTTTGTTCCCCTCCCACTTGACATGGAACCTGACAGGGGATCATTTTGAAAGAAACATGGTCCAATTCAGGACCACCCTGGAAGGTTCCATGTTGATTTGGGAGGGTAAATGATGAAACCATTTGTCGACACATGTTCTGAAGTGTGCCAACTCAAGAAGTAAGAACCATCCTACGTTGAGTTGACAGTCTGTAAGCCTTAAGCCACACGGACTCATCCAGTCATTGTCCTCCACTCCAGCAGGCGACGCATTGATATTGATGTTCCTTCTGCTGGCAACAATCCAAAGATTCACCCTCGGTCCCTTCGATATGGACCCTATTCAGTGCATGGAAAAATGGGCGTGTCGTCCCATCAGCCCCTCGGAGTGTGCGACGCCCGCCTGAAACAGGCCAGCAGCCTCACGATGTCGGCCTTCTCTTTGTCCGCCGTAGCGTTCCAACGCTCGATCAGGCCTCATCACTCCATGGGGGCCATGACTTCTGAGTGGCGCATATGGTAACACAGCGAGTCCGGGGGGGGGTGGGGGCTGTGGGGGTGGGGGGGAACATGTGCATCTCCTGGCAATGAGTTTTTGAAGAAAACTCCTGCTAGCGCCAGGAGCGATCTCCTTTTGGATCTTGCTTTCTGGTTCCAAATGGGGCTGGGCCAGTAACTTTGCTTGTTCGGAGAACTAAAGTGAGGGTGTCCGAGGAAAAGCGTAATTGAAATGATAGGGGCCCAGTACAACAACCATGCTGGGCCGCTCATCTAGATTGGCGTCATGCTCATCTTACAAAGCATGTTCCTTTTGGAGAATGTCGGAAATGTCAGACAATAACATCACTAGACCCAAGTGTCAGGCACCGTTGGGCGCATGTTGAATATAAGAAGCGACAAGACCATATGTTGACCCCACGCGAAACAAAACAACGCCGCCATCTTTACTTTGCAGCTGGCCTATTAAATGAAGAAAGGGGAATTCTATGGTTCCCCTTTACAATAAGGCCGGGGTCTGGTTGCTTAAATAGTTCTGGCCCTGGAAATGCCAAGCCCTGGAGTTCATCATGGTGAGTCGCCGCAACATAGTCAACACAGTTTGCCCCACCCTTTGGAAATTGCGCATGCAGCCAGGCATCTGAGAATCTCTGTCTCTGAGCTGATGGGGAGTCGCTCGTAATTGAGGATCGTCTCCTCAGATGCCAGAATTACAAGACCCGGCCCCCAAAACCTGGTACCTCCGGGCCACTACCATGGAACCCACCAAAGGGTCCCTTTTAAAGGAAAATGGTCTTCCAGGGACTCCTCAGTCAGGTTCCATGTTAGGGGATGGGAGGGTACTACCCTTATAACAACAAACCTGGTCCCAAACACCAGATGTCGCCCAAAACCATGCGAATAATCTTAAGGATATAATTGCGCACCTGATTCGATTGCACACATGACTAATTCTGCATGTAAGGCCTCGCCCCACCGTCCAGTCTTCTGATTGTGTTGGCCTTGTATTATTGCCCAGGTTTGATTGCGGCTCAGTTGATGTTCTATTCTCCTGTCAAAAGACTGAATGAAACTCGCCGCAAGGGAATTCTCTGAGGAAACCCGTCGTCCAAATGCTTCCATGTTAGTGGGTGGGAGAGTTAGTGGGTTGACCCTCGAAGTACCACGACAAGTTGATCCGTTTTCCCCTCGCGATCATGCAACGGCACCCCATTTCAGTTCTTTAGGCCTCGCTTCAGTGTCTACCCACTCTGATTTCATACAGGGAGACCCATAGAAGATTAATTATAAGGGGTTTGTCAAGCAGATGCCCTCTGCGACCCTGGTGCTGCCATGCTGCCAAACAAAAGGGGATGCAAAAAGGGACCGTAAATTCAAACACTCCCCGGTACGGTGGACACTTCTTGTCTATTCTTGCAACCTCCTTCATGTAGGGTATTGTTTTTGCTCGGGCTTACTCGAAGTGTCTGTGGCACCCGCCCTCTGCCCAGGGCTCACCAAGGCTTTCTTTGTGGGCGGGGGTTGGGTTGAAGGCGCCCCTCTATCATCCACGCGTCCACAAAGTAGACTGGCAGCGAGCACCAGCGAGAGTCCCGGGTCACGGCCCGGAACTGCTCCCGGGAGGAGACCATGTCTGTGGCGATCCTTGGATAGCCGCTCCCTTGTTCATTGGTTTTAAAGGGAAACCAACAGGAAAGCACAATGTGGGAGGAGTCCTTCAAAACAAAACACAAAACACCCTGGTGTCAGCCGGTTGAAACATCACCATTTTTAGCAACCCGTTTTGGTTTGGTCCCCTTTACTCACCCTCACACAGCAATTCGCGCCATCTACTTTCGATGGCGTTTATTTCTCGTTGTTTGGGTGGGTTCTGCATCGCCTTTTGGGCCACTTGTAGATAAGTTTCCTGATGGGTGATGTTCAGAGGGGGCATGTAGGGATGTCTGAAGGATCTCATGTTCAGGTGAGTCTCCTGGTTTCTTTTTGGAAACTTAGCAAGGCTCCCATGTCCCTCCACGTGGGCCAAACCTCAGGCAGGGGTTGTGGCACGGGTACTTGTTGCCCGCGTTGTCTCGAACGAAAGCCAACACCGGATTGCCCAAAGAATGTCGTGGGTGGGTCTTTGCTCTCCTGCGGCCAACTCACTTCGGGGAACCGAGTCCTTTCCTGAATATGCTGATAAGTCACTTCTGACATCTTCTCACCTAACACGGAACCTGACTGGAGCCTGACAAAACCATGATTCCTCACAAAGGGACCTTCAGGATTCATGTCAATGGGTGACCATTTAACCAAGAACCATCCGGCCCTCCATCATGGAACAAATGCCTGCGATCGACATCATGCAAATGATTTCCGCGATCGAAACGCATCAGGTGAGGAAATCGATTCGCCAAGCTGCGTCTGGACGAGAACCTCGGCATTTCCGCGCAAGCTGCGATCGCGATGTCACTTGGTGATAAGTAATGTCCACCTACGATTAATAAAAAAACCTTAAATAAAGTTTTTTGGGGCCCTGGACTGACTAATAAATCGACCTCAGTTGTTTGGGGGGGGGGGGGTGGGAGGGTTTATTAATCAGAGGTGGACGGGGCTCTGGAAGAAGCATCATTTGAGGCTGCCTTTTTTTGTTTTTTCGAGGGCATCCCCCCCCACGTTCCCCTGATTGGTCCAGGAGCCCTCTTTGGGGATCTGAACTGGTCCTTGCTCCCCCCAAGGGGCCAGCTCCCTAACTGCCATGCGGGTCGCAGGTCAATGGAACTGGCACAAAGAAAATGCCCTCAACAAAGCAAATTCCTACGATTTTGCACTTTATCAAGGACACATGGCCCGACGCCCATGTCACTCAGGGCTCCCCCTTCACCCCAGCAAAAGGAACCCAAATCGAAATTGGCCCAAAAGGTGATGCCCACCCACAACGGAGAAATACACACCAGGGCGAAAGTAGATGACAAAATGTCATGTATGTGAGTAGAGCAGACGACTAAAGAAACCTGGGCATTGGAATTCCGCCATTCACTCTCACCCGACTAGGCCCAGGCATTGCGGGAATGCTCCTCCGTGGCCCGGTGCTCATAGTGCTGCAAGTGGTAGAACCTTGGACTTGGATAGTCAAGTCGTTGCGAATCGAAAGTGGGTTAGACCTTAATGGCTATTGTCGCCTGCCCAAACAGTTCTAGTTGTTTGGCGTAATTGTGCTCCCCAAAGATGCAACCCAATAGCAAACCACGGCTCTAAGAACCAGCTCCAGGACCTGATGTTACAACCAACCAAACAAACAAGCAATCAAAATCAATCAACCACACAAACAAACTTGACAAGCAAACGAGCAAACAAGCAAACAAGCAAACAAACAAACAAACAGACAAGCAAACAAACACAAAAAGGTTGGCTCAAGCTTAAGTTTAACCAAGGTTGGGATGGGCCGTCAATCATTTACTGCACACCCTTGGTATCCCACTCACTGTGCTGAAGTTTGGCATCTCCCTGCGCGTGCGAACCCAGGAGCGTAGACGTGACCCGCAAGACACGAAACGGGGCCTCTACTTCCTGATTCCCACGGGGAAACACCACATACACATGCCAGACGTATATATGTGATACCTGTTATAGTTTTGAACGGACAACCGCAAAGCAACGCACAGAGTGCAACTACAAGATCGGGAAGCCAGGCTTCTCACCACACACACACACTTACACAAACACGTGTGGTGGATGAGTGAAGGATTGTGTCTGTGAGGAAGCGGGGGAGCTCTTCGCGTGCCCAACAACAATCAACGCTCCGTGCCGTGGCAATTGTCCATGAAACGCAGAAACTCACAGGAATCTCTTGGGTGACTTTCCTGCTGGAATGCATCATGTGTGTGCGTGAGTGTGCGCGTGCACTTTTTGAGGGTGTGTCTGAAAAGTACAACCAAAAGGACACCGCCTGAATTGAAATTTTCGCATCATGAAGTCCCCTAAAAGTTGAGATGTTTCTTAAGATATGGGTCCCCTAACAGTTGGTGATTTCCTCTAAGTTTGCCTGGTGCGTTTCCTTTGGCCAGGGCCCCCGAAGCGGAACAATCTGAGGTTTTGCAGGTTCCCTGGAAAATCTGCCAAAGGCCAGCCGTGTCAAACTCACCTCCCGCGGGGATGGGCCAACAAAAGGTCCAACATGTTTGTTTGCCACAAAAAGTCGCATTCCCAAAAAAAAATAGAATCCAGGAACTCAGGGAGTGAGCTTGATGACCACTTGGTATATTAATATAACCGCATGGGCCCAAAACAAGCTCGGTCCGGCAGCGCATCTGCAAAGTTCAGCTCTCCCACCACGTAGAAGCTCCTAACAACCGAGAGACATGATGGACTGCCGGGGGTGCCTCTGCAACTCAACATGGACTCCCATACCAAGGAAGGCCCCCCAAAAAAGGATTCCGCTACTTGTGAGAGCGGACCGAAAAGCTAGCACTGTTTGCCAGAAGTGCCAACGCGGCCTTTTCATCGGCCTGCTTTAAACATGTCCTCTTTGTAGGTATCCCCATCCAGCAGCACGTGTGAACCAGCAACGTTGCGATGACAAATGTAAGCAAACACACAAGCATGCGTCTGGGCAAAATGTAACGGCAAGAAATAAGTCCAGGCATTGCTATGGTCTCACTGTGCCAAACTGGAGCGACTAACAAGTGTATATGAATCAATATATGTATAGCTATTCACCGAGTCGCTTGGGCCAAGGCTTGACAGCACCCCGCTCCTCTTCCCGAACCAGGACAAAAGCTTCTCGTAGAGAGCGTCCACTGAAAATCGCTCGGCTTCAAAGCCTGAGCCAACCGCACAGGTGGAAAAGTGCATCTGGCAAACGGCTTTCGTGGCAAGGCCACTAGAATATCTGGCATTGTCCACGCAACAACGGTAACAACAGCAACTACAGTAGCAGCAGCAGCAGCAGCAGCAGCAGCAGCATCACCACCAACAACAACAGCGAAGACAAAACGCACGTATGCACGTGTATCGTAATCCTGCACGTGCCATTTCAAATAACAATAACTAATGAACAATTTGGGCGCTGAAACAACTTGTTCAGCGACAATGCTGCGAGATTGCCCCTGTATGATCCGATAGTTCCGTTTTGAGCACCAAGGGACATAATGTCGCCCATCGTGCGCATGCTAGGCTTACAGCCGTCCAAGCAGCAAATAGCGAGCATCTTCTGCGTCAAGACTTCGTTGGCCTGCCCAAACTGGACCAGCCAGGCGTAGCCCACTGCAACAAGGTGCTGGGGGAAAGGGAAGCCGAACGAAAACAAAAAGGCAAAAAAACACAGCTGAAAAGGCTGTTAATCATCACAACGCAAAAGGGAACTTACCCAGTTACCCCAGTTGTAAGCATCGTTAGATGCTACTTTTTCCTTGACTTGAGAGTATAGCTCAACATGTTTGTTTGCCTTTGCATGGATTCCCCAAAGCAACAAGTCCACGAACTCATGGAGTAAGATGGACTAATGCAAATCCACTCCTCAAACAAGAGTCAATTGTCGACCCACTTAGGGTATGACCATGGTCCAACCAACCTGGGGTAAGTCGGATTGGTTTCATTTTAACTGGTTTGGGTTGACCATCCCCCCATGTTGGCAAAGTCATGCCCTTTACTTACCGACATAAAGGCAGCTGTGCCATCAACTTTCACCCTGGCCTTGTCGCTCTCCGCTTGCTCGTTGAAGAAGGACATTTCACCTCGCATCGAGGATATGGGACGCGGAGTCTAAAAGATCTGAGAAAGTAACCTGGGCTTCTCACCAGTCCACGTGCTCCGGCTAGATGACCAAGTATTTTTTGTCATTTCAGAAGCTGAGAGTAAACAATTACAATTACACCTTCTTACCAGTGTTGTTGCAAACGTGAACCTTATATAACCTTATGGCTTTTACATGTGGCACGCGTGAAAATGCTGTCATACACTAGATCCAAAGTGGTTGCATTTTGAGAACACGACCTTTGGGACCGGTTCGCTTCGAGCTGCGCCCATGCTGCAGGCATTGCGTCTCACCTGCCCAAGGGACCTGGGACCTGCCTATTATTAGACCCCAACGGTCAAAAAGACATAGCAGGGTTGTGGGCTGTGGGAATTGCAGAGCGATGAAGCACGGCCAAGTGATGCCAAGAGCGCAGTGGCAATTGCCTTTCCATTTTCTCTGAAGGTCGTGAACTGACCGATTCTCCACGGAGACTGAAGGCTTCCTGGCATCACAGAAGTGGGAACCTCTCATTACCGCTGCCGCCCTGGCACAATATCCTGCACATATTAATGGCCAACACCAGCCGTTGGGCATGAATGTTACCTGAAGTTTCTCACGAACATCATTTGTTATTACGCGAGAGTTTTGGTCCAACAACCATTTGCAAGGCGTTGCTCAGTAAATTCCATTCGTGTTTAAAAAACATCTTTCCTGTTGGGAAAGTTCCATGTCCTCTTCCATGATTGAAACAAGGCTAGTCAGTCATTGACGTTGTCCAAGCTTTCCACCTCTGCAGTGCTAAGCTTGCGGCCGCAATAGATGAATCTCAGAAGCTCCGCCATCAGCTCCTTGGATTTTGGCAACGGAGCAGCCCAACCGCTCCAATGAATAAATATCATGACTTAGCTTCAAAAGGTTGCCTGAGATGGGGTTTAGTGGTTTAGTACCTCCGGACTGGATGTTCCCAGCCATCGGGCCGAATGGCAAGAACAACCCACCGGACAGCTCTCGGGCCGAGCCGCGCAGTCGCACTGGATCTCATATCGCTCCTCTCGCGCGGCGAAAGGCTCATGAGGCTGGCGGGTGGAACAAACCGTCGGAACACCCCTTAGATTATATCTCCTTAATAAATTGAAGGTCTGGTATAGGTTCAGGCTTTTTAATAGGTTAAGGTTTGGATTGAGGAGGAGGAAATGTGACGAGAAATGTACAGTGGACAGATCTCGTTTGGACTTTTTTGCAGCCAGTTGGGGAAGCAGTTGTCCAACCGGCAAAAGGGGCGGACCCGTGGTCAAAAGATTCAAGAATCAGAATGACCCCTCTCTTCAAGCGCCATCTGTACCCACAAAGTGAAATTGGGCCCTTCTAGGCTTTCATTTCCAAAGCGGGAAAACTAACTGCAGCTTTCAACAAACCACTCTACACTTACGAAAGCCCTGCTTCCCCTAAGTGGCATCACAAGGTAAGCCATACATTCACAGGTGGAGAATCCGGAGGACCCCTTTCGGTGAGAAAGCCTTCCATTATATGTGGATTCCTCGATTAGGCTGGTCGAATAAGTGCAGGTTTAAGTTGTGGAATATCCCGTGTTTGTTTTTGCGATGCGAAACTGGACCGTCCCCATGACGACTCTGTCCACTTGACATGGGATTTCCTTGGTATCATGCAACCAGCGCTAGCATCCACTTTCTCACAACCATCCACGCCGAGGTGCTGCGAGGAAGAAGGGATCTGCCCGCTTGTTGGTGCCAATGGTGCCGCCGATGAAGTGAGCTGTGGAGAATCCTGCCACCAGCGTTAAGGTTCTTTCTCGATTCCACGTGCTGACGCGCTGTAGAGCCAGGTTGGGTCATCAAGTAACTACATGTTGCTCCTATTGCAGGAAGCGGCGACCTAAACCATCATTTTGCCACGTGACATGGGAAAACTCGAGAAAGAAAGAGAGAGAGAGAGAGAGAGAGAGAGAGAGAGCGAGAGAGAACAAAAGAGAGAGAGAGCGAGAGAGAACAAAAGAGAGAGAGAGAGAGAGAGAACAAAAGAGAGAGAGAGAGCGAGAGAGAACAAAAGAGAGAGAGACAGAGAGAGAGAGTCTTTTTGAGGAGAGCCACTACGCCCCGTTTGGCCAAAACCTGAGAACCACTCCTTAAAGAGAGTCTTTTTTTTTAAGGTACAGTACCCCTTTTTGGGTGGGTTTAAGCAAAAGCCAAAGGAACAACACAAAAGATCGGGGCCCCCGTTTTAAAACACGCCGCGGCCCCCGCGGGCCTGGCTTCAGCGGATCTTCCCGCTTGCCCGAGGTGATCTTGCCCATGGGCCCGCTGAGCGCCTGGATAAGGGTACCGGTGGCGACCCTGCTTGGTTTGGGTTTTCCGGGTACCATGTGAGTCATACTCAAAACCAATTTATGGCTGGGATTGGCCCTTACTAACCTTCATCTACCCGGGTTTTGATTGTGGCCCATGTGTTTTTAGTTGGGGGGGGGTCCCCTAAAATGGAGGACACACCTGGGGAAGCCCCTAGCATGGGCGGATTTTCTTGATCGAATTTGGCTGCCAAAAAAAAAAAGCACAATGAGCCGAAGCCGTAGGTTTTTCTCCGCTGGAGCCAACTCGAGGGCGGGGGGCCCGGGGGGCCCAATCCGGATGTGGCTCCAAGGCGCTGATCGCTCGATGGGCTGTGAGAACTGGATGGACTGCAAGTCGTCCAGTAACCGCGTGTAGCCTCGACATCTCGCCCCACAGGCTTCGGCGGCCAGAGGACCCCAACCCGGGAAAAGCCAAGGCCGGAGGGTCGCAGAACTCGAAAAGAGTTGTTGAGAGCAAGGTCGAACTAGATTTGGGACTTGGGGAACAGGTATTCCCTTCCCCCGTAATATTCAAGTTTTTGCTCTGAGGGAAAAAGAAACACACTCCCTTTTCTCGAGGGCCCCTGATTGCTTTTCTTCGCGGCAGGGAGTAGACTAAGTTGTGGCACAGGGTACATGTTCCTTCCCTGGGTTCAAACAAGCTCAAAGAATGCACTTGTGAAACAAGGATTTAAATGGCTCAGACTCATCTTCTCTCCTGTTTCCACTGGGCCGAGTACTCATGTCAGCAGGCAGGTTGGTAGGTGCATGTTTCAGGCATGCAGGCAAGCAGGTTGTCAGCAGTAACCCGCAGCACAGGCAGGCAAATACTATTTTGGTTGGTTGCCTTGGGACTATCTGCCACAGACAAACAGAACTTGAACAAGGCCCCAGCCACTTGAAAACGCAAACATGTGGGAAGCAACACAAAACAAAGGCAGCGCCGTTGCTTCTCGAAAGCCGACAAAAGCTCCCCAAATGCAACTTTGCAACAATAATTCAAACAACAAATCACCAGTTTCGGGTTCTATTGTTTGTGGCTTCTAAAAGGAAAGGATTCTGGGGGACGCCTGATACGGATCGAGTTGGGGTGACGAGGAAAATCTCTAGTTTAGTACTGGTTTAGTGTTTCCAATCTAAATTTGCAGTCCCGGACCTGGATTTTGCGCGGGGTCTGACAAGACATGTTTTATTCTTGGAAGGACCTGTTTATTAGGAAGACGGGATTATCAAAGGAAGTGCCCCTGCACTGTTCCCGAACACCATGGCCTCAACAGCACTGGAAAATGTCAAGTTGGATAACTTCCCCATTCTTGACAGGGATGCTTTCTGGTTGATGATTGAAAAGAACACTGGCGGACCATACAAACACAACAACGAAACGGGGCACTGTCTGGAATGCGATTCCCAACTGCTGCTGCAAGCGAGAGGCCGTTGGCTTTGAAATAGTCCTTCGCCGCCGGGATCTCATCGTGATCCGCGTTTCGGCTCATCAGCTTTCCAAATTGACCTCAATCCAACCATGGCCTAAAGGCTTGCGCACTGGGGGTCAACAGTTGTATAGAAATCCAAGAGCCCCTCTCCAACGCCCCTTACAACATCCCACAGGCTTCTCTTTAAAGAGGACCAGGATCCAAATCTTTGAGTCAACCTAGCAACACCCCGGAAAGCACGCGTCCCAAACGGCAAAACACACTGGACCTTTGCATGGAATCTACACTTGACGTGAGCGTAACATGCAGGCGCAGGCGCGGACTTTCCCGCAGAAGCCCCCGGACGTATCCAAGATACCTCAGGCGGGGCAGAGTCACAAATGGGCAACTTGAAGTCCGGTAGTTGTTTTCCATTTGGCTACCTTCAATCAGCAACCACAAAAAAGAGTCGCCTCCCAAACAAGTAGCCTCACTCAGCCTCACTGGGGAAATTCGCACCTCTGGTGTTGCAAAACCCAAGGACTCTGCGAACTTTACTATGCGGTTTCAACAGGAAGGGCCCAAAAACACCCCAACCACCAATCCAACCACGAAAGCGGGAAAGGACACTTGGCTGTTGGATCCTTGTTGTCCACAAAGTGTCAACTTTCCCGGCCTACTTCAACCACACTGCTCGTGTTGCTTTCCTGGTCACCTGGCCGTTTCAATCGAAACCTCTAAAACCATCAAAGAGTAAGCCTTCAAATAGTCACACAACTGCAAAGGCTTGCTCATTCCAACAAGAGACAAAGGACGACCCTAATCAAGGCCCCATCACGTCCCAAACCAACACTTGGCCGCCAATCCGTTGTCATTGGTGCAGGGTGCTTTGTGACTTTGGGAGGTGGAAAGCACTTAAGCCATGGCTCAGAAATGACCCTGTCAAAACAGTTTGGGAGAAGGACAGCTTTCAAAAAGAATCAGCTTGGAACCAACTATCTGGGTGTATTAGAATCAATCACCTGAAAGACGAAGAAGAAAAAAACGCAAGCAAGCAACCTTGAAAACGACCTGAACTACTCGGAGAAGACCCAATTTTTGAGGCAAATATGTAAATTGATAATGAGTCTTGGGAGCCCGACTGAAACACCGGCATTGACTCCGCACAGACCTTTGTGCATTCTGAAAAGGCCTAGCAAAGGGGCTCCAGCCGAGTGGCGCGTGTGGCAGCGAAAAAGAGGGCCATCCTTGATGTGGATGCCAAAATCCCCGCTGCTCGTCTCTTGGAAGATCCTGGGGCTGACGCTGTTTGGCACGATCCGAAAGCCGATTCGAGGCAGTGTATGGGTTTTTGTTGCACCCCACCGACGGCAATATGTTCTGTTCAATCTGGAGCGGGCCATCCTAATTCAAAATAGCATTCGGGAAACCAATGCAAAGGCAACACTTGTTCATCACACAAATTGTTAGGATTGCCGTTGAACAGTCAAAGATTCACATTGCCATGTTTCACTAGCTGTTGGTGTTTCATAGAAGTGTGACCGGAGTCAGCAAACATTTCCCACACACACACACAAACACATCGCACCATTTACAACGAACCCTTCAAATGCCCACGAATTGACGTGCTTGATTCTTCCCTTTTGAACCATGCCCCGTCCATACCCTTGTCTACTTCTCCCGTTGACCATGTCTCGCGGCAAACCTACCCAACAGGTAGGGAAAACGGTTGCCACTGAACAACTGGGGTGTGTAGGCCTCACTTCCTGACTGGATGGGCCTGGAAGAGTCAGAGTCAAAACTGCTTGTGCAGTACTAAGACTAAAAGGGTCTGCCCAATAAGTATAGAGTCCAGCACCTCTTGTGTGTCGGATCACTCTGTCCAAGCCCAGGGTGTGCCCACAGAAAGTATCAAGTCCAGGAACTCCGGGGGCGTGTGTGTGTGTGTGTGTGGTTTCTTTTTGAGGGTACGCTTTTTGCACGGGTTGAATGGGAAACCCAAGGAACAACACCATGAGGTCTCAATATGGCTATGGGTCAAAACCCCGTACCCCCAGTGAACATCCCAATCCCCACTATTATAGGTTCTAAAATGGGTGGTGCACCTACCCCAAAATGGGATCCCATTAGTTTGGACCGGCCATATCTAAAGACACCTAGTGCGAGGCTTTGGTCCCAAAAAAAAGCCGCAGCTCAAACCGCCGCCGAAGTGGCTCCCGGAAGAGGCGCGCCGAGCCATGGATCTGCGTCAGCGCCGCCTAGCGACGCAGCCGGCCCGCGGTGAACCGAAGGCGCCAAAAGCCGAGGGTTGGGGGGGGTTGGGGGTTGGGCGGTGGGCTTGGAGCTGATGATTCTTCATTCCCCTAGAGATTCACATGCCTAAAGACCCGTCATTTGAGGCATCAGCTTTTGATGAACAGGGATCCTTGGCTTCACAGGTACCGCTTGAGCCCACCTTCGATTGGGTTTCAATCAAAAGATCACCTAACCCTGCAGAGTACGGAATCTAAAAACCCTCATGACATGTGCAGTGAAATATCTTTTGGGGGGACCCTTTCTTGGGTTCCATGTTGATCTGCAGGAGAGAAATCGGAATCCGTACCTTGCGTCTCTTCCTATGTGGACCCTCGCTTCCCCAAACCGGGGAATATTGAAATGGTAAACCAAAACCCAGATCTCCAGTAGATGTCCACATAGTTTGTTGAATTAAAACCCACCCAGCCACCCACCAGAGAGGAAATCAATCCGGTTGCTTTCCTATAATGAAACCACGGGACACATTTTTGCTTGTTGGTATGCTCAGGGGAACCATAAGTCCAAGGGTTTCTTAGGTGATACAGGATTTCGCAACCATCCACATTCCCATGTGAGCCACAATCAAAAACCGTAGATGAAGGTTAGCAATTCACGATCCCCTTGCCATAAATAGCTTCGGAACTCCGCCTTCTTAATCCTCTACCTGGTTCTCGGTAGGCCATTTTAGTATCAGGTGTTGATTGCTCATGTCAGGGTTTTGGCGGAAGTGCCGGGCGCCAGCGCGCGGCGGCTCTTCCAAGAGTGGGCCGAGATCAAAGATCGAGGCCAAAGAAAAAGCAATGACACATAATGTGAACCCTAGAATCATATGATCCCCTGTAAATATACCAACAAAAGTTACGGTTTCCCAGGGCAGCCCCCGCCAAAACAAAGCACACCGCGCACGCACGCACACGCACACACCACGAACACCACCGGTCTGGGAAGGTTCGGAAGCAACGCTGGCCTCCTGCTTGACAGCCATGGCTTCAGGCCAACTCTTGAGCCAGCCCAAATGCGACGCGGCAAGTAGGCAGTCTGCCAGGGTGGTCCGTGGCTGGCACGAACTCGACACACATGCCAAAAGGATTAATTTAGGAGGACATGAACCAAAGAAGCAATAGCTTCAAAGGCCAGATATTTGGGCAAAGAACAGCTGCCTGCGCTGCACGGGTCCCATGATCATTAGCAGTCCTGGACTGAAGCAACTAATCCGGACTCCTGGAAAGATGCTTCATGTGGGGGAAGGGTACGCACCCTCTTTCCAAAATGATGCACATCCCACAATACGTCTGAAACCTGAAAGGGATCCCCAATATGAAAGGGCCTGTATCATGGTGAGGTGGGTTTTTCCCCTGGGCTCGATAAAGCCAACAAGAGCCGGCAAACAAAAAACACATTCCTTCGGGGGCTGCACTTCATTTTTTTAAAGGAAGCTCACTTTCTCCTGGGCCCGAAAGGTGATGTGAGACCTGCAGACCTTCATGCTTTCTTTGGGCCGGCTGGTCTCAATTCGCCACCGACCGCGAAGTCAGGCCTTCATAGGCTTGCAGTCCTTGTCATCTCTGATCCTCGGGTCAAAGCACAGGTGCCATGGTCAAAACTGCTGCGGGTCTTGGTTGTTTCCCAAGGGCAATCAAGCAAAATCCCGACAAACAAAGACTCGCGCTGGTTGCTGGACAGTTCATCCCTGTATTCGTTCACATGGATGAAGCTCCAAAACTGGTGCAGGATTTCGCCCATCCACAGCATATTTCTGTCGCTGGAAAGGCCTGACATGGGGCCTTTCTAAGGAAATCCTGGGCGGTGTCCCTAAACAAGCTTTGCAAGTTGGGGGAAGCTTGGTGCGGTTGCCCTCCCGGCTTCTGACCAGTAACCTGTACTGGTCGTTCAGCACATCAATAGCGTCCTGGCCGAGCAGGCGGGGCTCATACATAGCTGAAGAGGCTTCCCACACCACAATTTAGAGCATGTGTATGTACTAGTGCAGGGATATATATATATATGTATATATATATGTATTTCAATATACTATATATATACACTAAATATACTGGTCACACGAGTTTACAAAGAATTTATACCCCATATACCCCCAATTAGTCGTGGTGCAATGGAAACCCACTCAAAGCTCAAAGGGCAGCGGGGAAGGCAGCTGGGAACTTCTGACTGGTGGGTTTTCGAATTCTGTTGAAATGGCCCCGCCCGTGATAAAATGCTTGGCCGCCTTTTTCCCGCACCTCCAACTCCGAGCCGCGCTTTTCCCCACTCCGGCAGATCCGTGAGCTGTGCAGGGCTGTGGGAGATGACCACTTCTGTGATACAACAACAAGGGCTTCCCAAAGACCAACCCACCACATAACGGTGGGAGATTCCCAAAAGCATCACAGAAGTGGGGCAAACAACAAGGGCTGTCCAAACACTAACCCACCACATAACAGGGAAACTTTCCCAACAGTATCACAGAAGTGGTTGGAAAAACCCCTTGATCGATCCCACCCTGGAGCTGTGGGAGTCGGCGACTTCACTCCACGTAGCTCTGCAGCATATCCGCCCCGCGCTCGCCCCGCTGCACGGCCGCCAGGTCTGCCAGCAGCGCCCGCAGCTTGGGCCCGCGCAAGCGCGCCAAAGCCTGCTGCGCCAAGCGCCTGGGCCAAGAGATAGGAGAAAAAAGAAACAATGGTCTACCTTTTCAAACAAAAAAAACTATCAACCAAACAAATAACAAACAACCAAACAAACAAGCAAACAATCAACCCAACAACCTAGTCCTGCTCGATGACTCGATGTGTCCTGCTTGGTTAACGTGATAGTTGTGAGTTGAGAGCTTGTTTTTGCTCACGCCGCCACGAACGGCATAGATCATTTTGCACATGTTCGTATATTATGAACCTCTTAGGTCCTTCCAGCGTCGACGCCTTGGTGACTTTGGGGCCGTGGGGCGGGCTAGGATGGTGGGGTGATAACGTCGGGGGCACAGGCCCTTCCAGCGTCGACGCCTCGATGACTTTGGGGTGGTGGGGTGGGGTGGGGTGGTGGGGAAATAACGCACGGGGCACAAATTACTCGGACCCCTACAAAATGTGGGGTTTGTGCCTGACACACCTTCCATTGGTATCACGCAGGCAAGATGGACCACATTAACCCGCCGAGAGCGCCAAGACCACGACATACACTTCAGTTCTGTGAGGCATAGGTCGCTGTGCCAGGAGTGTTCCGTTTCCTCGGGAATATCAACATCAACAGGCTGGCGAGACCTGAAGAAGTGGCTGCCACTTTGTGGCATGCTACGAAGAAATGCAGTACTGAGATAAATACGAATGGCGGCGCAACACGCATAAGTGCTTGTGGAAAGCAACGCCGCAGTTGGGCGTTTGCCAGGGTTCCTCTGCGCTGTTAGTGGGCAGCGCCGGCGTGACCTTGTTTTTGCCGGTTCGAGCGTGCTGAGGAAACACCTGCTTCATGCCTGCATGAAAAAACCAATGCGAAACGCAAAGTTTGCCCACAGTAAGAGGGACACCACAGCGACCCAAGGGAAAGTTTGAGAGCCCCTCAAAACTCTCACGGAGGCCCAGGGAGAGGTGAGCGAACCGGGGGGAAGCGGATCAAACCCGGGGGCACTTGTGGGTAGGGAAGGTCTGGAAAAAGATGTTGACACAGAAGCAGGTTGGATAGTCAGAGGAATAGTTTAATCAGCCAGGGACTCCCCAAACAGTTGGTCGAAGCCAGACAGTGGCAACCAAAAACCACATGTTTCCACAACCAGTGCGTCTGCAAACACCGGTAGACTTCCAAGCAGCTAGACAGCTCCGTCCTCGTCTGCCGAGGCACCGGTCGCCCTCGCTCAGCGATGCCATGCAGGGAGCCCCGGCAGAGGCAGCGATGGTGGCGAGATAAACTCGCTCATGTCCTTCATCGTTGAACAAAAAAACTACAAACATTTGAGTCATGTCAGTCTCTGGGTCCCCTGACAGGGGTGGTGGTTTCCACTGGAACGCGGAACATGCAGTGGGATCTGCGGTCAGGGCAATGGCAAGCGATGAGCAAATCGCCGTGCAAAAGGAAACCAGTCAAGGAACATGGTGTCAAACAAAACCATAAAAACCAACGGAGGCATCTGAAGACAAGGTTCATTCGAGAGTAAAGGTGCTGGCTTGTTGTAAATCAAAAATAATGCATATACCCAGATGCCCTGGGGAAAAAAGGGCATGTGTTTTTACTAGTTGAGTTTTAAAGGGGAATATGTTCCCAAAAAAAGAGAAAGGGGCGTCACTGGGCAACTGGGTATATGTATATATATATATAATACATTAAATACAGCCAACAGAGAAGCATGCTCCAAGAAAGCGCACTGAATTGGTGAGCGAGCACGGTCATTGCGAGCAAACAAGCAAACACAGAAACCTAACAAGAAAGCCCAAACAAAGAAACAAAACCAGGCAAGCAAGCAAGCAAGCAAACATAGAAGGTTAAGACGCCACAAGTCGCCTGCCATTTCGAGGCGCTGGCTACCAGTAAATCATGGCGGATGCACACAAATTGTGAGGTAAATGGTAAATTTGACTTGAGGAGCGGGTGAACGAAAGCTAGCAGTTGTTGCATGAGATGGGTCGGTGACAGAGTGGATTCATAGGTAGCTTGTGTACAACGAGAGGCCCGGCAAGATTCGTAGGATGCGACACGCAAACGCACATGGTGGCGTGGCAAACCTTGAAAAATGAAAGCAACGAGAGGCGTCAGAAGCTGTCTTAAAGCACCTCTGGGTTCTGCATGCAGCGTGCGCAAAGATTCTTGCGAGGTGGTTTACCGAGAAGACTGAGGTCTCAAATGAACAAGCTGAATCGGTGGAACATGTAAAAGTTCGTAGCACCAAGTCCAAAACGGGCAAACCGAGACTGCTGAACACTGAGCCACTGCCCGGGGGGGGGGGATGGACCAGGGAGGAATCGAGCCTGAGACCGGGGGGGGGGGGGAGGGGGGGGGGGGTCTAAATAATTGATGTTTTTCAATCTTTTCGGCTCAAATAATTGAAAAAATCAATCTTTCGGCATTTGAGCCCCTTACCTTGCTTACGCAAGGAGAAACTTCAGCTAGCTAAAGCTAGCTTTCGTGATCAGTTGCTGCCGGGTGGATTGAATCAAACGTGCGTTCAAGTCAACTGCGAACGTGATAACTTGCTGCAGCGTGAAACATGTGTCCCAGTCAAACGTGAACAAAATGATTGCTGAATAGTGGATTCAATCGGATGTGTGTTCAAGTCAAACGTGAATGTAATGACTTGCTGCTTGGTGGATTCAATCACACGTGTTTTCAGGCTAAACGTGAACGCAACACCTTGGCGCATGGAGGATTCAATCGTCAACGGCATACGTGAAAGCGTGGGTTGGAGAAGCGGTGGCATATTGCCCCGCTCGCGAAGACAAGGACGAGGAGAAGCGAACATTCACAGCAGCAAAGATAAAGCCAGGTGTTCGCCTCAAACTGGCGACCTAGAGCGTCAGCTTTCGGTCCGCCGCCCACTGCAAACGCCGCTTACTCGCGACGGGACCTTCGAGGCACCTTCAACAGGGAACTGGCCCTATGCTTTGATGCCCATTTGTTTTGCTGGTCAAATGGATCAGGAAGGAAACCGAGAAAGGGCCAGCCGGCGAAAACAGTCTGGCAATATGTACATCTCTACTCTTGGTGTGGTAGCGAAAAAACTGTGTTTTTTGCAGACCCCCAGTAAAAATGAACAGAACCAACAAACTAAAAAAAAACATGCCAAGAACAGTGAAGTGTATACCAGTCAAGGACGAAATCAGCAGCTAGGTTCTCTTTTGAGTGCTAGGGGTCTGACCAAAATGGCACATTCTCTGGCAAATTCACGTCAAGGGGCGTCAAATGTATTTTCCTCCGCCGATGTTTGCGAACTTAACCTGATCTGCCTAAATTCTCTGGAGGGAAGGCTATAGTCTTGGAACTCAACACATGGAGACGCCGAGTTTCTTTCTGCCAAGGCTGAGAACACCTTGAAGATCTGCGTATTCATGCTCCTGGCAGTGCGGATTGTTGCATTTTGGATCCCCGTTCAAGGGTAACAAGGGAATGCCTGTTTGGTCTCGACGCATAAAACGACTTTGCGCGCCTGTCCCTCCAATGAACGGGCAGTCATGCTCAAAGCAAGTCTTCACCCAGCTGTCCAGCGACCCCAGTAAGAGAAGACCATCCTTTTTGAAGCCATCGCACAACTGGGTTTGGCTGAGCGCTTGACTCGAGCATGTCTCCTCTTTTAGCTTGACAAGCCTGCAGCAAACGGTTCACTTGGAACTCCGCCCTCATGGCCATTGCCTCCTTCCTGAGCCCAGCAGCCTTCACAGTTCACTTCAGTTCGTCACTCCACGAAAAGGAACATCACCGTCAGTTAACCCAAATGGTCAGCTTACAACCGAAAAGCAGGGGATATACAAAGAGCCCAAGATGCTGCCTACTGTCTACCCAATCCCCCCCAGGACAAGAACAAACATATAAAACGAGAGACGCCCCGGCAGCGTCTCCTGGGCCACTGGCTAAAGCTCGCCACGACCGCCTGCGCCAACTGCCCCACGTCCGCCTCCCCCAGCTGCACCGCGCGCGTGGTCAGCAAGCGCTGCAGAAAGAGCAGCGCCGGCTTCAGCACATCGTGCCTTAGGATATCCCCGAAAATTCGCCACCCCTGGTCATAAACATAGCTTGGTTGCTTTCTGCTCCCCTGCTGAAAGTTTAACTTTTAGTGGTTTAATGGAAACCCATTAGTTGGCAAAAAGTTAAAGTCTAACATCCAAGCAACATGCACCAAAGATAGGTACTTCTGGCAGCTAGTTCTGCCAGCCACCCCTGGTAGCCCTGCAAGTACCCCTGGTCAGCGCCGTTTAGCCTGAGTCAGGGGGCACCTGAGGCAAGGGCACCCCGAGTGCTCTTGCAACCTAGGGAAACGAACAACGGGGAAGAGCAGACAACGGAAAATAAGGGACACACTTTGGGGCGGATTGGTGAGACTTTATGCAGGATTGGCTAAGACCAAGCTTGGGGCGTGCCAGGCAAAACAAGCAAGGTGGCAACAGCAAACCTTGGCCCTACATCTGGGGTACACAGGAAAAATGTATTTCCCTAATATAGGCGGCATTTGCTTTGTGTTTTGTCTACCCAAAGCTAAAAATAGCTTTGAAGGAGACCCAGAACCCCAGAACCCCAGAACCGTTCCTGAACCCAGAACTTTAGCCGGCTCCAGATCCTATCTGGGCCCTCAAGCTTTCAGCAGGGAAAAGCGGCTTTACAGGAATCTCCTTTTCGTGTTGAGGAACCTCTTCTTGGGTGACCTCCACTTTGGCCTCCTCGTGTTTCCAATGCCAAGCAGCTCAGCCGAAGCGAGGGCGGCGACGCACAAGCGGCACAAGGGAGCTAGCAGCTGGGAGCTGAAGACCGCATCGCCTTGGAAGATGTCACACTCAATGCCTTGAAGCGAACAGTTTGACGACTTTTGGCGTGGTCTCCCTGTTAGCCACTTGTTTTCCAGGGGCCTGGTACCTCGTGAGCAGGTTCCAAGAGACCCTTGGGGAACCTCACTTCCTGAGGAAACCCGAAAAGGCAAAAACAAACAAAAAAACGCGGTCTTGAAGAGCTTTTCACCAACCTGAAATAAGGGCGGAGTGGTCAAAGGCTCGCATGCCGACTGAAAGTGTCAGACGCTGAGGCATCTGCCCACTGACGTCGCCAGGGCCGAGCAAAGGTCGAGAAACGGAATCAGGTCCTGCGCAAGGACTGGGTTTTCACAGCAGCCAACAGACCGGATGCCTTGTTTTAGCCGCAATGGCCAGTTTCAGGTGAGATGCAACAAGCCATTGGCTCTAGCTCACTTCCCGCATTCACAAATCAAAGAACTGCGTGCTGACCGGAGTTGCTTATGCTGATGTCAATGCAGCATGGCCCCGTTGTTGTAAGTTCATACCACTCACACTGCTCACGGAACTGGATGATACAGGCGGGGCAATCGCTCCTCTGCTCGCCCATTCTGAGACCGCATCCTGAGCAAGCGCACAAGAATTGCCTGAGAGGAGCCAATCGAAGCAAACTGACGGAACAGGCAAGCACTCCAGGAACGCTTCAAACGCAAGCACTACTGGCCATGCTTGCAATCAGCTGGTCTCTGTGCAACTATCGGGGCCTATATGAAAACACCATGCCAATCTGCACAAGAAATGAGAGACATTGAAAGATCACCAAACCCCGATTACGATGCTCGCTTGCTCTTAGTTTTCATGAAGCATTGGGATGGTCATGCCCTCCGATTTTGCCGAGAGTCAGTGCTGTGTTGCTGATGACCTCCTGAGTAGCTCGCTCGGCATTGTCCCAGGATTCAACAGGCGCCGATAGGGTCCTGGTTTAAACCTCCTTTTAAGGGGATTCCATCGGGCATGCCCAGCAAGACTTTAATCTGGAGGCTTGACCACGCACCCTGGACAAAGCTGATGCCGATATCACTCCAAGGGAAACATAAGGAGCATCGTGCAAACTTAGGCCCCGTGTGGAATCCTAAAGCAAGGGGTCGAAAGGTCGTTGACCACGTACGCGGTCCCATTTGGTAGGCTTCCGGCCTACTTTCCCTTGTTTCTTGTTCACATCACCATGCGTGCCTTTTGTTAATTGATAAAGTCACCTCAGTGGCCGTTGATATGGGAGAAAACACCATACCAGAAACCAATAGAAGAGGTCCGTTTCATCCTACCCCGTTTGACCATTGTTAAAACAATCGTGGCTTAAACCATGTAACTTGGTCATGAGTCATTGTTCAACCCTAAACCTAGGAAACAACTCGACCATCTTCATTTCATCATCATTTCAATCAAGGACAACCATGCACAAAAAGGTACCAACCGTTAATCCAGTAAACATGTTGAAACAAGGGCTTCGCGGCGTAGTTCAGATTGATTTTTTTGGGGGAACAGGTTGGTTTTCAAGGGGAGGTCACCAAAAAGATCCAGTTTGGGGGGGGGGGGTAGCTGATTTGGTGTGTGTGTATTTGTTTGTTTGCTTCTAATTTTTGGTCCTCTTTTTTGCTTTTTCTTCCCACCGGCCACGCGGAGGCGCCAGCTGGGGCAGGAGGTACTTCTGTGCCAGGCCGGGGTGGGCGGCCAGCTGTGCGGCGGCCATAAGCACCGCTGGCTGGCCAGCCTGGCCAGCTGCGGTCATGGGTGTGGCTTTTTCTTGGTTGACGTTGAAGGGGAGCAAAAATCTAATTTTTGGCAGTTAAGTGGGGGCCTCCCACTAAAACACAATAAGCAAAAATCCTAACAGCAACCATGTTTTGGGGTACCCCCCCAAAAAACAAAGAAACGTTAGTGTGTTCGAAACATATTCAAAGGGACCAAGGTCGGACCCCCAAAAATCAGACACCTGATCTTCAATGTGGGTGCGTCTTTCTTGGGGAGACCCACCCAGATCGCGGTCTTCCCTTTACCACAAAAAAAGGGGTAGCATCAAAAAGAAACACACCCTCAAACCGCATACCGAACCTCCCGAACAAACATGCGGTTTTCCCTTTAACACAAAAAAGGGTACCATTAAAAAAGAACCGCCTCAAACCGTATACCCTCCCGAACAAACATGGAACAGGGCTCTTTTCTGAGGAACGTGGCCTTCCAGGAAGCCCTGGAAGGCAGGTTCTATGAGGGAAATTTTGGGAGGGTAGCAACCTTGGTTGGAATTAGAACCCCAGCAAAAAATATATTTTGTTGCCTGGTTAATGGAAAACAAAGGTAACCCCAAAAAAGCAAAAGTAATTAAAAAGGGGAGCTAATTCTGGTGAAGCAACATGGTTTTGTCCCGTCGAGGGTACCGAGCTCCTTTTTCACCTGGGTTTAGAGCATGAAAACTTGTGCCCAGAGGGCTCTGGTTGACTGTAGCGAGCGAGGGAGCGTGTCTTCTGTTGCGACACGTGCGAACAAACCCGGTGATTCCCCCTCAATCAACACGGGAATCTCCCATGATTTTTGCAGGGGACAAAAACAAATTGAGAAAAGCGATTTAGATAGAGGTTATGGAAACACATTCAAGCATCTGGACAATTACAACCAAGGCAAATATCTTGTTTGCATTGAAGCATTCTGCAAGACCTGGAGATACAGGTTAATCTTGTGGACTCAGTACTCAAAATAAAATACGCTAAGCGCTGGAGAATGAACATGTCAAAAGGTTGGCGTTCAAAGACTGAGCCTTTGCACACGGTAGCCAGGCTGTGAAAGAAGAGTCTCACCCGAAAAGGGCCGTTGCATGATTCCTATCCATGCACTTCAGGATCAACATTGCCCCCACAGACCCCGCAGACCAAACTCCGAACCATGTACACGACACTTACGCCTCCAATAGGGCTTATTCGCCCCTATGTTTATTCCCCACAGACTATTAGTAAGATTTGATCAGCAAAAAAGTGAAGGGTTCCTCTAAAAATAGATGGAACCATTGATCAACCCAAAAGTTTTGTCCGGGGTCAGCATTGGCCCTTTCAGGAACCCCCCCTCTCAGCTCCCCTTCCAAGTTGCCAGCGCTCGTTCGCTCGAAAAGGCGCTCGCATCGCTCGTGCCTGGCAGCTGGCCACCAGCTGCGTCACCTGCCAGGCTTGGGCTCGATTCTAACCATGCAGCTTCCTCAGGGCAGGAAATAAAGGGGAGGTTGGAAAGAAAAAGGTTTGTAGAACCCGACAAACGTGGATTGTGAAAACAATAGTGGCTTGAACATGTGGGTTTCAGCCAAGATAGTGGAACCGTCCAAGCAGGTGTTACCGTTTTACCTTCAAAACCAGACACACTGTGCATGGACGAAATCACCCACAAAAAAACACAAAGAAAGGTCTCTAATACTTGCCCTGTAAGCACCGACAAACGTTATGGTTTCCTAAGGCTTCTTAGGTGGTGCAGGATTTCGTCTATCCACCCGCTTCATCCTTTTTGTGGTTGCCCCCTTTTGTGGTTCTACAGGGAAACCTGAGAAAACCTCTGTTTGCCATGCCTGGATTGCCCGTTGCTCTTTCTTTCCATGCACTGTACCATCCAAAAGCCAGCAAAGGTGACTGAAAAAAGCCATCGCGACTTGGCTATCCATCGGTGGTTTCCTTTCGTGGGACCCCCAAAATGGTGGTTTTCCTTTTGCTTTCCCGTTAACATCGCCAAAAAGGGGCACCCAAATGGATCTCGCAACCATCCACAGGTTCCCCGCTGGCGCCGCTTCGATTCGAGTGCGCGCCTGCTGCGCCAGCGGCTCGCTCTCCGCCTCGTAGCTGGCGGCGCCGGCGCGGCGCAGCAGCGCCAGGACGTTCACCTGGACCGCCACCTCGCGGCGATTTTTGGGCGCCATCCGAAGCCTCCCATGGCGATCGCTGCAAGGCCCGGTGCCCCAGGCCCGGCCCGCGGAAGGCGACGAAAACATGCGAATCCAGGGCCCAGGGCCCTTGCAACTGCTGCAGTCCCCTGGAAAAACAACAACACACATTTTTCCAGTGGTGATAAGGTAAAACCAGCAGATGCAAATACTGAATATTCCCAAGCAAACTGAAGATCCCCAATGTAAAAGAACGCCAATTCACCTCCAGCAGCTTTGGGGGAGGGTCTTGAAAGGGAATGCCTTAAACAAAAATCTTAAGGGTGAAATAGATGGCACGTTGCTGCTCCTTTATGTGGATAGGTAAAGGGGTGACTAAACCGCCCAACTGTACATGAAAAGTATGGATCATGCCGAAAAGTACGAACAAGTATGAGGGTCATTGGACCATTGGCTAGGGGCGCATTGAATGCACCCTTGTAGCTGAATGGACCCTTGTGGCTAACAAAAGCCATGTTGAAGGACCCTAGCCTTAAACATTCAATGTTATGTATTTATGTAACTATTTAGTGTGTTGCTGATGTATCCACTTTATTTATTTCTGTATTTGTTTGACATGCTTTATCTATTTGATTGACCTATTGTTGGTTTACTATATGTATTATCATTACTATCAGTTTCATTCAAGGGTGCATATTGAGACAAAGGGTAGCTACAGAAGGGTGTAATCGTGAACTATGAACAACAACTAAAACAACACCTCACCCAGTTACCCTGTGTTTTAGCTGAAACAAGGTTTGGAGAATTCCAAAGGCCCCGTGTTCCATGCATGACTGTTGCTAGGTCCTCCAGTGGAGAGATTACAATGAAGGTGCCCTCTTTTCTGTAGTCTGATTCAGTAGAAGAACCCTCCCCCCAAAAAGAAACGGTAAAAGGGCACTACTGGGGACCTAGGTTGGAAAGATGGCAGGATAGCAGGGTATCCCACGAATCCCCCAAACCGTGGAAGCCGCTCCAAATCCAACTCCCGTCTCGGCACGTCCGAGTACTCGTACATCGGCCGGCCCTTCAAGGCTTCCTTGGTCACCTGGCTCCGGCCCCATCGGGGCGTGGGACTTTTTCGGAGTAAAGATGTGCAACCATCTATTAGCTTCACAAGTTCAAACTTATGATCGTGTGGTTGTCTGATCCGGCTGATCCGCTGGGTCCGCCGGGCGATCATGAGTGCAAGTTTAAAAAATGGAAACAGGGGCCCCTGGATTTTTGTCTTGAAGAGTTGCAACTGGCAGGTTGCGTTGAAACGATCGCCACTTTTGGTTGTCTAACAATGGTAAATGGAGGATCGCATAAAGGGATTGCTACCCGAAAGAGCCAGACCCCAAAGCATGCAGAGGGCACTTCAGAATTAGTTGGGGCTTATGGACCCTCATTTGTATCTTCCTTACCTGGGATGCACTCTTTATGTTGGATTCATCCTCAGGGGCTATGGCGCAAAGGTCTGGTGACCTTAGCAAAGTACTGGTTTCACTGTTCTCGGGCACGCACCACCCAAGAGGTATGCCAACTACCGTTTGTCCAGCCAGAGAACCCATACAGCTGCATTTTGAGTCGAGTCGTGCATATTTCAGTAAAAGGAACCAGCGCTACGTTGCGACATACAATGAGGAGCTGGCTTTTCTTCGTGGTTCCTTGATCCCTTGCTCAGAGTTTGGCCTTTGGTGGGATGTGGGCCATAAACGACCCTCCCATGCTACAAGTCTTACAGACTAAAATTCTAAGGGCATGGCTGGAAAGCTGTCGAGTCTTCGGTTCCCGTTCAATCAACACCTAAACGGGCACCCTCAAGCAAAGACTCAACCGCATTTTTGGCCAATAAGGTAGTCTGATATTCAGACTGGACACAGAAACGCCTGGTTGATTTTGATCCGGGGTGTCTCATTTCAAGGGGAATCCTTCGCTTTTGGGGGAAGCAGCCCCCGAATAAACAGCCGATTCGGTTGATTCATCCGGAGTCGACATAAGCACCCTCACCTGCGCTGCCAGCAGCACGCTTTGACAAGGCGCCGCAACAACTGGCCTCGGCTCAAACACAAACCTATCGTTTCAGGTTGGTCAGGGCTGCACCCAGGAGCCCGTCTGGGAGCATAGTATGCACAAGGGGTAGAAAACGATAATTTTCAACTTGGAGGTGCTGAGCTGCGGGTAGAAACCAGCTTGGAGTATTCGTGGTATGTAACATTCCTGCCGCTCTCACAAGTCACTGCGTAAATTAGGGTTCCCCTTTGACATTCAACTTACTTCTCATTGGCCCAAAAGATGATGTTGCAACACGACAAAGGGAAACGCACTGACCTGTAGAGTTTACCGGCCACGAATAGTTTCATTAACCATTTTTTTAGCTTGGCTGCAATCATGGCGGGACCTGCCAAAAGGTGCAAATTGTGCCGATTCAACTGGTAAGGACTTGGAAACCCTGACGAAAGAAGAAAAAGGACCGCTGCCAAACCCTCAAAGCACTCTGCCTGCAGACTGGGGCTAGGCCTGGAACAAAGTTTTGAGTTTTGACTGTAAATTAACATGAAGCCCAACAAACCCTCATACGTGCAGGAAGCTCCTTGTGGGGGGGGGGGGGCAGCATGGGGATTTGCCAACTTGAAACATACCCCCTAAACGCAACCCAATACATTTGTCAACGAAGGCAGACGTTTGAACACTGCATCAAATGCACTCAGAACGTGCTTGTGATTCTTCGAAGTATCGCTCTTTAGGTTCTAGTATATTGCAGGGGTATGCTGCAAGGGTGTCGTCTTGATTGAATGCCCCCTGTCGTTTTCCATGCAACGACTGTAAACATGATACATTAATTTTGAAAAAGCTTCAAGATAGCTTCTAAACTGTTGGAGGGGCTCCTTTCTGCAAAGTGGGTCAGAAGGCAAACCCGTCTGCAAAGGTTCCTGGTATAACAAAGAGGGGAGCAATGGGAGGGGTGTGGCCAGGAGCATAGTCCTTGGTGGCCCCAACTAGTCACTGCTAGCTTGCAACGGCTTCCCTTGCTATGCCCCCTGAATTAGTATGTACCACAACTCTGTGCAAAAGATCACATGCTCTTGCAAAGCAGGCGGCCAGCAGGAGAGCAGAAATCCTCAGCTGAGCGCGCCCCTGAAAACACGAACTCGGGCTGAAACACATGCCCTGGAGCAAGACACCCCCGATATATATATATATATATATACATATAATATGTATCCCAATATGCAATGGCAGGATAAAGCCAAATAACACCTGTATGTTCGGGAGAAGGGGGTCTTTGGAGAGGGGAAGTGGTAAACAATTCCCAAAATACCGGGCTGCTTGAAGTTATGTTTTTGAGATGAAATTTTGGGGCGATATATCTTTTAGCCACTATGTAAGCGGGCGGGGCGATTGCCGCCACTCCAAACTGCGATTTTGCATTTTTCCAACACCTGCAAGCAGGTATCCTCGAGTCTCAACTAAAGCACCTCCACCAGAGCTCGGCTTGTTGCCATTTTCTAGCTCGACTTTTCTAGCCCCAGAATCATCCGGCCTTCCCATGCTTGTCAAACATCGCTTTTCTGCGCTACCAACATGGGATTCCCGTGCCCATGACTCATTTGCCCATTCCCTTGCTTCCATTTGTTTAAGCCCCCTGCAAAATATGAGAAGACAAGACACATTCGAGTAACGATAGATTCCCTTCAAAAGCCAAAACGGGAAATTCCAACAAATATTCATTTCAGCAAATGGAAGAACACATGGGTTCCTTCCGGATTCGTCACACAAAAAGCACAGTGGACCCTACCGCGTTGCCCCACAACTTGTCCCGCCAAGGCTCCCGCCAGGCACACGGAGGCGAGCCGCGCCTCCGGCGAAACGGCCACGCCGTTCGCTGCTGCTGGGCCCGCCTGACGCATGACCTAAGTGCTCAAAGGATTGCTGGTGCGAGAGATGCAGGGACTGCGAAATGGAACGACCCCTATGAAAAGCCCTCCAAGTGGTTTCTGAGAAGGGGGGGGGTTCTGGGTTTCCCGCATTCCCTACCTATCGCAGCAACAGGACTGGAGCGCCTGCTGGGTGACCCCAAGAGGGCCCCAAAATTTGTGCTTAAACCATGACCAACCCAGCCCTCTTAACACGAGCCCCACACCCAAATCAGGAAACGTGCCTGGCATCTCACCATACATTGTTTCACTCATACGTATGAAGGGAAATTGCATGGACAACTGTCGTTTATTGGGGTCATACATTGCTGAAGCGATCGCCTGATGCCAGAAAATGGACTTGTCTCTTTATATGTCCCCTCCGAACATCACTCAACCAAAGAGACGCTCCATTTATGTTGGCCCTCAAGGGAATGATTCTGGGAAATGACCCCCTGTGGTCTTCCTGCGTCACTTCGCAGGGCCCCTTGGCATCATAAGCAGTGGTGCCCCTGCTTGCATGGGCCTGGACTCCGGAAAACTCCTGTAGCATAGACTGGGGTTGCGGGCTGCTTCAATACATTTGGTCATGATAAGGGGAAGTTGTCTTATATGAATATGTTGCCCTCAAGGGAAGCCGTGCCCAACAAATGATGCGGCCAAGAGATGCAGAAATCCTATGCGAGTGACATGCAACATGGCAAGGGTTTTGGTGGTGGGCGAGAAACAAGCTGCGGCGAGGTGCAAAGTCGCATCGCAGTATCCGACCCAAGACTCGATGCAGCGTCATGCGGCCTGGTTCAGGCATGCGGATCGGATCTGTGGGGCAACCTCCTCAATTTATTTTGGCTGGTGGCTTGAGCATTTGAACCCCGGCCTGGAGGGCAAATGGGAAACCACCCCCAGAACACCTCCAAACCAATGCAAATCACCAAGGCGGGGTAAGGTGGGTAAGGTGGCCATTCTGTCCTGGGCTCCTAAAAGCCAAAAGCCCAGGACATCTGCTGGGGGATCAACCCCCAGACTATTTGGCGCGTGCCGAAAAGCTGGCATGGCGGAAGGCGCGGTCAAACGCATCTCTGTACGAACTATCCCCGCTCACCATGATGCACTGTCCAGAGTTAGGCATCTCGACGCATGGAACCTTCGTCATGGCTTAGTGCGGGACTAACAGCATGCATCTGTGCTCCCAAACAAAGGCAAACATGGTGCGCATCGCTGCAACAAGAAACCCCCAAAGTGGTTTGAAAGATTGAGGGAGAGAGGTGGGGCTTTGCAGGTGCTTGACAAAGAGTGGATGCCGATAGATTCTGCATGATTTGCTCCCTGCTTGCAGTTCGGCGATACCAAAGTGATCGAACCCGCCCTGATCGCTTTCAGGGGACTCCCTTGATATAAGTTGATAAGTTGATATCACGGAACATGGCCCTAAAAGCATGCTTTCCGCAGCCATGCCCTCTTGTGCTTAGCACTTTGTGAAACTTTTGCTCTCTTTGGATCAACACAGAATTTCGCGACGAAAGGCAAGTAAGAAAACCCTCAAACATCCGAAGCTTTTTGCCACTAAAATCAAGATGGCCTTCCCAAGAAGTACCAAGTCCAGGATCTGAGGCATCAGAAGGTGAGGCAACATGGGAACCCCCCCCCCCGCCTGCTTCGCTGCTGGTGTCGATGCCCTGCAAGGTGGCCGCAGCGCCTGGGATTTGCCCCTTTTCCCGCCCCCTGAGAGGCCTCTCCTCCATGACAAAGCCCTTTGAAGCTGCTCCCATGGTTTCCCATGCAAGGGGGGACCTAATGCTTTCCACGGAAAAGGACGGGAATCTTGTGGCAAGATGGTTGTTTGTTGTTTGTGTGCGTGCCACACCAAGCTTGGAAGTGGACAGGAGGGTCTCGGAATTTCAGAAGATTATCGGAAAGGGATCCCTGTACACGCCCATGATTGCTGGAAAACTAGGGGTAGTTTTTGTTGCACGTGTTTTGGGGTTGTCAAGGACGCCAGCAGGGGCCAAAGTAGTTGTAGTTGGAAAGTTGTACAAAGTTGGCTTGCTTGCACATGGGTCACCAATCTTTGCCTGTGTCGGCCAAGGACACTGATCCGAAACAGAAGATAAAGCCTCGGCAACCATAGATTTGTCATAACAGGTCTTTTGTTGCAGGAACCACTTCCCTCATGTGGCAGGTTGACTTGTCCGGGGTCAACATCCAACCGTGGCCATGTGTCGGGGTCCGGTTTTAAAGGGTCCTGACTGGAATTCCTTTTGTGGCACATCTCGGTCATGAGGCAAGCTGGCGCCAAGGGTCTGTTGCACACTTTGGCAAAGCCCGCTGCAGCTTGCTCTGCGGGGAGGTTTCGCCTCAGGCCGCATGCGATCCAAAGCTGAGTTGGGGGGAACTTGTCCAAGTCCCTTCTCACCATCCCAGGGCTAAGGTTGCTGGAAATGTGATTTAGACAAGGTCCAAAGAGCAGACGATTGGGAATGGCATCTTCAACATGAGGGACCCTTGTTTCAACACCCACCTAGTCCCTCTTAAAGAAATCATAGCAGTTTAAACATTTTTAACAGGCTGGTGAAGGTTGATTGCAATTTGGTAGACTTTGAGGAACGCATCTTAAACAAGGGGTCGCATCGCCCGCATCGCCCGCATCGCCCAACCCCGTCGTTTTGCGAGTTGCGCGATGCCCGCCAAAGCTCCGTAGAGGCACGCCTCCACCTCCGCCGGAGCTTTCGGCGCCACCTGCCGCGCAGTTTCCGGGGTCGGGCAAGGACTTAGACGATGTCCACCAAAGCACCAGGTGCCCCATGAAAAAAAAAAAAAACACGCGCCCAAATGCTGGAGTTGGTGCAGATTTTTCAGTCGAGTCAAGTGCCTGGTCCACCACCTTGAGAAACTCTTCCAGGTGCGGCAGCAGGAGCTTGCCGGCGTACCTCGGGAAGGCTCGCGAACGGACACCCTGAAGGTGTGAAATCCTTTTACTTTTAAGCGCTTAAATCCTCAAACAGCTGAAGCTCAAGGATTGAACCAGATAAAGAGCTCAAGGCTTGAGGCTTCAAAAACAAAACCATCCCAGACTTCAGGTGCCTGGATTCGTCTCCGGCCAGGCGACCCGCACAGCTCCTGCACCGTTTCGCTGGCCTCGTTGGGCACGTGCGCCACCATGGACACCAGCCACTGCACCGCCGGGGCCAAATGTGCCTCTCGGGTGACTAAAGCCCAAGGCGAAGGCGAAGGCGAAGGCGTGGGGGTGGGGTGGGGTGGGGTGGGGTGGGGTGGGGTGGGGTGGGGTGGGGTGGGGTGGGGTGGGGTGGGGTGGGGTGGGGTGGGGTGGGGTGGGGGTGGGGGGTGGGGGGTGGGGGGTGGGGTGGGGTGGTTTTTTCTTCCAAAAACCCAAGCAGTTTAAAGTTCAAGAACTCAGGGTGTGAGTTTAAGGCTGCCTGTAGGCGTTGCTCGAAGTGAGGCCCGCAGGCCCTGAGCAGCGCAGCGCCCGTGGCCAAAGCTTCCGCAGGCCCCCCCGTGACCTCGGAGACAGCCCCGGGTCTAAAGGGACCTTCAACCCGCGGCGGGTCACCACAATCCAACGAACCTCAAAGGCTGACTGTATAGGGTCTATCTCAACCCCCATGTTTTTTTTTGTTTTTTTTCTTCTTCTTTTTTTCTGGGGGGGGGGGGGGCTGGTTTCCCATATTTACGCCGGACCTAATGGTTCATAAACCCATCCTAGGGGTTCATACCAGGGGTTCATATATGGTGAAAACCATGATTATGATATTCTGAAGTGAGTTGACTCCCTTGATACCCTTCTGAGGTACTTTTACTCTCTAGAATCTGGGTGGCTTCGCAAGAAATAAGAACCACCCATCCACTTATGTTTCCTTTTTGGAACAATGCAGCACCCCTAGTCTGCGCATCCAAGAGCTGTGCCTAGTCTCCCTGCAGGCGCGCGGCCCGGAACACAGAGGGCAGCACGACGTTGTACTCGTTGGGGATGCTGGGCTCGTCAGCAAGGACCTCTGCAATGCCTGCAGTCGAACATTAAATGCAATCATGGACGCAAAAAATGCCCAATTGAGCGCATGTCAACATCAAATTTCATGCTTGGCGAATATCAGATACCCTCTTTACAGGCAGTCTGAAACGGATGTCTATTTTTGAGGGTGCCCCTTGTGGTTTTAAAGGGGAGCCTACAGGAACATCAACAATTGTGGGGGTCCCCTAAAAAAAAACGGATTGATGCAGTTGTAGAATTCGTTGGCAACACTTTCGTCGGCAAGTCTCAGAAACGTTCAACGTTTCCGCCAGCCAGGGAAGCTTGCTAGTTCACAGTGAACCATCCTATGTGGCTTTTCCTCAAAGAAACCCAAGTTGATGTTCTACTGAGAGCCAGCAAGAAAGAGAGGCTTTGGGTCACTCCCTGAGAAACAGCAAGCTTTCCACCAGGCATCAAACACCTTTGGGTGCGAATGTTCATTCCTTCAAGGTTTCCTCAAATGGTGCAGCATGTTTCTTTTTTGCACAGCCAGGGGGCAAGGACCCCCGCAATTAACCGCAAGCTTAGTATGATCTTGAGGTTGGATGTTAGTTGTTTCACCTGCAAGCTTTACCGGGCTGCTACGGCGCTCCAGGTGGAGGAAGGGTGTCTGAAGATGTTTATGGTATTTCAGGCAGGTACCAACAAGGTTTTCACCTTGGCTCCGATTCCGTTGGCTGAGGAATGGTCGGCAAGTGGAGGGATTGGTGAGGGGCCTCAGAAGGGCCGGATGAACCCGGATGTCAAATAACCAGGGTTGCACGAGGGACAGCAGAGATTGGCTGACATAGAGGTGAACATCTACGCAAATGCCCTTCACAACCATATGTTCAAATACAAGCGGGTGTATGCACTCCTTTCCCGTTTCGGCGGGTTTCCGGCCGGCCAAACGGAGTCCTGTGATGGACATGATGTAAGTGGATTGATTCTACCACCAACCACTTTGAGACAATATCACTTTTGAGATGGTTCCAACTCTTGCCCTTCCCACCCTTTTTACATGGAACCTGACGTTCGGGGGTCCTGGTTTGGATCATTTTCTTTTTACAGGGACCTGTCAGCTTCCATGTTCATTGGGTGGACCCCCACGAAACCCTAAAAATCTGAACAACCAAGGGGATGGCTGGGAAACACCAGGGTGTGGTCAAAAATTAAACAGGAGGGGATACGAAGGTTTTGGTCCATGTTTCCACTTCCCACGGCTCCATGTTGGCACCGTTTCCTTAAAAACCTCTGCCACCAGGCTTTGAGGTGGTCCCAACTCTGAAAACTCTAGGCTTTCCACGGATCCTTCTTTCCATCAGACCCCCAGTAAAACAGCTGGTTTCTGAAAAGAACGATGCTTGAAAAGAATAAAACATGAACCCCGGGAACAACACCACTGAAACTGGCCACCTCGACACCGGCGCTTCACGCGGAGGCGCCCTGGAAGGCGTACCACACCACCTCCTGGCCCAAGATGTCTCCCGACTCCAGCGGCTTCAGCCTGAGAGCCAGGCGGACCTTTCGGGGTGCCGTTGACTCACTTCCCATCGAGGGCGGCCAACAGAAAGAGGAGGCCAAAACTTGGCGTTCTCGCCGCCAAACTGGTAGCCCAAAAAGTGATACTTCACTCCAGGAACTCAAAAACCGAGTTTTTAGGCATTTGTTGTTGGTCCACCCCACGGAACCTACCAAAGAAATGGTCCCTCTGAAAGGAAAATGGCCCAAACCAGCACGCACCAGTTCGGTTCCTTCCATCTTAGTGGACTGGAGGGTGTATAGTTGATGTTCAAACGGCTCCCTCAAAAACCAACTAGGTACTCATAAAGTGAGGTTACCTGGGTTGGGAAGCAAGAACTGCTGGGTAACAAGGGCTGAAACAAGCATGGTGTACAGCTTCATCGGATTAGCTCCTGTTGCACTGCTAAGCAAAATTCACACCAGCTTGGTGGCCAATCGATATTCCTTGCTTTGTTGGACAGCCTTGGCTGAGTGTGAAAATGGAGTTTGAAACACCAGGCAATTGCCCATCTTTGGTTTTTTTTGTTTCTTTGTTGGGACCATAACAAATGCTGGATATGTTCGTACTTATTTGCCCCGTTCCCGCCCTATCACTTCAGGCGGCAATGTGCCGAGCACCAGCTGCGCCTCCGCCGTGCCCGCAGCGACGCAGTACCTCAGGTGCCGCCGTTGGCAATCGGTAAAGCCTGCGACCTCTCAAATTGAGCCATTGCGGCTCCCACTTGCCCAGGAAACCTGGTAGAAAAAAGACACATTCTTTTTTGGGGGCTGACCAGCTGGTGCATTTTTGGTGGAGACGCCACCAAACACAGAGGGGAAAAGGGTGTTGTTTCAAAACTAGGAAAAGGAGATATCCCTTTCTATTGGAGCAAAAGGTGGTCTCTAAAGCTAGCAACAAAGAACTACGTGTGTGTGTGTGTGTGTTCGTTTAGGAATCCATATTTTGCTTGGCGAATTTTAGGAAAGCAAAAGGCAACCGACCAATTTGTGACGATTGGTTGACTCCGCAGGCTGCGCTGGACTATTTTGAGACGAACCTATACGGGAAAATCCATTAATATGTTGTACAAACCAAGGCAAAGGTAGTTACAAAGGTTCGTGGGTATGGGCCATACTTGTAATGCATACACGTATATATATATATATATGTAGGCCGCTATGAATCCTATGAAACCTGTTGGCTGAACCAGCTACTAACAAAGAACACTGCCAATAGGGGGCCCTGATCCCTGAATGCCACCTGGTTGCATGTCCACGAGGATGTCCTGCTGTGCGCTCCTCAGCTGCACCAAGTCCGCGCGATCATCCGTGAACTTCGAGTCGAAGCGCCCGAAGCGGGTGAAAGACAAGACGCTCCTCAGCCGTGAAGTCTGTTCATGGTTGTGAAAAAGAAACAAAGTTGCATGTCCCTCAGACTACTTCATCCTTTTAGCGATTCTCTTGGTATCACAGCCAGTGGTGCGAAAACCACATGGTCCACAACCATGCATCAGCGTGGCCTAATTTGGCAGGTTGGGACCTTGTGATTCCGCCCAACAGAGCCAGTTGGAGCATCGTAAACGGGGTCCTGGTGCCCTTTGATTAGCGGGGCTACAACCCTCTTGCGGGTGCGTGTCCCCAGTTGGTTTTTTGGGGGGTGCCTCTTCGTTTCGGGTCAGTCAAGCAGCATGCATTCACCATCAACCCCACCCACCGTCGAGAGTTAACTAATAAAGGGGGTGCTCCAGCCAGCTACTGATACGCCCAGTGGCCCCCATGGAAAAAGACTGCTATTTGCGGGAACCTCGAGAAGAATCTAGAATAAGTCGCGCAAACTCGGTGATTCGCGCAACGCTGAGGTGACCAGGGTTTCGTCCAAATCAATCTGGGCCAAAGCTGCAGGCGAGACTTTCACGAATTCAGCAGGCAAACCGTCGCGAATGTCCGAAATAGGAATCTCCCTTTAAACAGTTGAACCACGGATGCGGGTTTCGGCCCTGGCTTCTTTTTGGAACATTCGCCATCTACTTCATTCCTGGGTTGAGCATCTGTCAGTGGAGTATTTAGCCAAAACAAAAAGGCCCAATGGGTGAGCCCGCCGAACAACTGGGAAAATGATGATGAAGCTGCTAGCAAACTGTGTGAGGTTGGCCTACTCAGCTGGCAAGCCAATCAAAACCAATACCAAGCAGCGGTTCCACCAGGCGATGCAGAATCTTTGGCATCACGTTCTCCGGCAGCTTCCCGTCCCGCTTTGCATCCTGCAAGGAAACCGTTTCGGAATGCACACTTGACGTACAGAAGACGGGCAACACGGGAAAGCTAGTGATCCACCTGTGTGCATGTGTGGAAGTTGTGTAAGTCCCCCTATGCGCACGGCTTTCGCTGGATGGTCACAAATATAACACACACACAAGCACATCTCTCCAAGTAGTGAGAAATCAACGACCAGGTGCTCCTTCCTTACACACCAAAGCATGGCGTTCCTTCCGGAAACCTAGCACACCATCACAAGTGCAACGGAGGGGGTCAGAAGCTCGGCTTTAGACAACTGAGTCAATCAGACCAATACGCTAAACACATTCTCACCAGTTGGCTGAATATGTGGAAACTTTCATGCTCAAATGAACATGTCGTGTTGACTCAAGATATGTAAAGTTCAAAGACTCCAAGTGCTAGCAACTTGCACCTGCCTGCCAGTCACCAAATCAATATTCCAAAGGCTAAGCTCTGAAACGGGGCGATGATAAATCAGGGTTATCAATCGAACTGCGAATCAAAAAAGACAAAACAAAACCACCTTAAACGCTTGTCCACTTCTCTTGAACGTATTGCCCATGGTGGTCCGAGAGCTTCGGTTCAACGTCGATTGAGCCACAAGCGAAGCAAGAGACCGCAAGGGCGGCACCAGCGGCACCGAAAGAGTCCTTCAGAATCGCCCAAAGCTCAGAAACTGCTTGTCCCACTCGCGGGTGGACCATAAAGCAGGCGGCGATAAATCGCAGCCTGCGTGCACATCCGAGAGCCCGCCTTCTCAACAAGTAAACAAATACCAACCTGGAATGCAGAAAAGCACAAAAGCACATCCAAAGTGTTCTCTCGATCTACTAGTGGCGCGCTTCACAATAAAACAAATGAATCACAACAACACACCGCAATACATGCGATTCTTTGACCGCACCTTGTTTTTTGTCTCTGAGTCGTAGTTTGCAGGGGTGTCTCAGAATGCAATAAAAGGGAAGCCAAGCAAGAAACAGTGTTGGCCATGATCATCCAGATTCAGCGAATTGAATCTCTGGCCAGGGCACAGAACCTCAGAGGTTTCTGGGTCCAGCCACAGCAGCTGGGTGTACGCCTCGATGAGGCTCCCGGCCTGGAGCGGATGCTGCTGTCAAAGGGGGGGGAAACAAGCACCCTCTATAGGAAAGTGGAGAGGGCCTGTAGGAGTCCCTGCTTTCCAGTTGCTCAGCGACGCTGCCAGAAAAGGATTGGAAACAAAGCGAGTGGAATCCACAGAACCTTTCAACCGAACCTATGAGCCACTGAGCCACTTGTCCCTGTTCAGTTCCGAGGAACCTCCCAAGAAAGCCTACGGGGGTGGCTATCCCCAGCCCATAAGCCCCGAAAGCCTTTAGCCGAGGCGCTACCTCAGCCCAGCGAGCCAAGCGCTGAGCGTCCTCCTCCTCCAAAACCGCGGCGGAAGCGGCGTGCTGCTGCAGCGTTGGCAGCAACTGGGACATCCTGCGCGGCTTGCGCGGAACGCAACCAAGACATGAGGCACCCTCCTTTCGCTTTTGGAATGGGGGTTCCATACTGTGGATGCACGAAATCCATTTCGCACCACCTAAGAAACCCTGGAATGATGATTCCCCTGGAAATACCAACAAACCTCAGGGTTTCCCATGGTTTCCAAGTGGTGCGAAATGGATTTCGTCCATCCACAGTAGTTCACCCGTGCTCCAGCTCCATGTGGGACAGCGTTTCTAGGGCCGACAAGAGGTGCGTGCGATTGGACCGGCAAACCCGGAGAAAAGAAGTGGGTCCAAACAAAACAGGTTGATGGGGCTGGGAACGAGGTCCCTCACGGCGCCTTTTGAGTGGTCAAGGACTCCCTTACATATCGCCATGACGAAATCTCCCAACATTTGTCCAAAAAGCGACGCCTAAATAGGGGGCTCATGGCAAATATAGAGACCCACAACAAACACAGCCGAAAGTCGAATTGTAAACATGCAAATGATCCCTAGCCGCCTGAGAACCTGTGACCAAATTAGACTCAAAACTCATTCGGTTCATTGGGTATAATGGCTTGGACATGCAGCTCCGGGTCTTGCTGTTGCTGCTATTCGGTATCATGGTCAAAATGTCCAACGTCCCTCATAATTCCAAGGGTATCATGTTCCAGGTGGCACACTCCTAAAACAGGAAAGCCACAATGCTCTCATACTTGCAGCGGCTCTTTGGCCTCTCTTCTCCCAAGTATTGATTTCCGCTGAGGACAACACACATTTGCTGGCAAATGCAGCCGGGCCGAAAGGATTGAATAGATTGCGGGGCAAACTTGCGGGGCAAACTTGCCTCGCGGCGTCCTTGAATAAACAGCCTGAAAGCAACCCCCACACTCATCCCTTCTTGGTGCCTCCAGGAGAGATATCAGCAAACATGTCTGGCTCAACGAATGGCCGTGGCTCAAATACATGTACCAAAATGGCCCCCTTGGTAAATGAAAAGACAAAAACCTGCGTAACCCCAGCTCCTTAATTTTGAGCCACAGCCACATAGGTTTAAGGACGCAGTTCTCACTTTGAACCAAAGAGCGCTTGGGTCACGGCGGCAAGTATACTCTGCAAGGCAGGCGCTGCAGATTGTGCCTGGGATGGCGAAATGGACTGGATCTGGACAAGTCGCTGAGGAAAATTAAAATTGGAAATCTGGAATCCAAAAGTAAAGGACTTTCATAATACTTTCATCATAAAAAAGCTTGGTTTCCTCTTAGGAGAGCTCTTTATATTGTTTTGCCCCAGTTTGTTCCATCCCATCGTCCGCTTCACACAACGACAAACTTCCCCTGTAATTTGGCGACTTTGAAAAAAAAGACTCCGAAAAGAGCCCAATTTGGGTGACACAAAAAGGCTGAGTACTGGGGATTAAAAGCGGGCATGGAAGAAGTGAGGAAGTTGCTGTTGTGGCTGGTAAGTTGTCTTCAAGTGTTCCTTGCCCTCAACACGTTGCCTCTGACTGGGGGAAGCTGTTGAGTCAAGGGACTTGGCGGCCAGGCCGATCGGGTCATCGGCGTCCACAACATGCCGAGGTCCAAATACGTAAAGGGAATGTGGCGCATGCGCTTCATGGTCATGACGTCCTTTCGAAGAACCATGGAAGTGCACATAGCCATGCTTATGCACACAAAGCCATACTTAGCACGGGGGGATACCAGGGGTACCCACGTGAAAAACCAAACGGATTGGCACGTCGACTTGATGGTTCTCAATAAGGAATCAAGAGGGAACTCGGGGAACTCGGGAACTAACCAAGGAAACATCAAGGGATAGTTCATAGGGGTCATTCCCTCGTGCACGACCCAGCCAGTTCAGCGCCCCATGGCCGCTTGTCACCGGCAAGTGGCGGGCTCGTAGATCATGAATGCCCCGGCAGAGCGTCGAAGGACTTCCAACACCTGCGATGGCGAGTGGCGAGTCCAAAGCTTGGAAAATCAGCCCCCGCGGAAAATCAGCATCCCTGGTGGGACGGGGGGGGGGGGGCCACCAGACCAAATGGGATAAGGGGGAGGGGAATCCAATGAACCACTGGGTAAGTGACATGGGTGCAGTTACCATTGTGTGAGTCGGGGGGAAAGTGGCAGAGAACATCTTGACGTCTAGTTGGCACCCTTGCGACCCAAAGGCGCTCCCATACATGAGTTGGATCTTTCTGAAAACGGGGAACCATGTAGTGCTGGTTTATTGAACAAACAACATGGAGCCAACATACTCGCTTGCCCGAAGGAGAAAAGGAAATAAAAGGTTAACCTTTCTGACCTTGACTAAAAGTGGGCCAAAGCAGGAAAACCAAAACCTGAAAAGGACGGCTTTGGGTAAGGGAGCATCTTGATTGACACATACTTCGTGCTGTCGAGGGGCCGTGTCCAGCACGACGTCCAGGTTCACCGAGGGACTTCCTCAGTCGACCCACTGGCCAAGGGGCCGATTGAGTTAAAGTTCAAACACAATATTTTGGGCATGGTGGGTATATCTTTGGTGCTATTTAGCTCTTTGGGTTTACTCGCTTTTAGTTTATGCGACTGTTTCAAAGAATCCGTCCCAAGGCAACGGCCCGGCATCGAGCCAGTGCCATCAAACCGGTAAGCCTTGAGGATGATCATAGTAATTTTACGTTTTTAGTAGCCTCCTTCACTCTCTAGGATCACGCCCCAAACCAGGTGCTTGGTGGTTACCCGCTATTGGTCAACAGGTTGAATCATGCGTTCCCATTGTAGGTTCCTGACTTCCGCAGAGCCCTAGAGCCCAGTTTCCAATGAGGGCAATGAGATGCCGCGCAAAGGTCTGGTGCTGGATGATCTGCAGTCCCATCACCTAACGACTCCGGAAAAAGAGAGAGCCCGGTCAACCCTTGTTGTCCAAACATGTTCAGATCACTGTTCAAATGGTCTTCTATCAGCTTCCCTTTGCAGGGCACCAGGGCTGGGCGCAACTCACATAACCCCACTTGCTTGCTTGCTTGCTTGCTTGATTTGTTTGCTTGCGTGCTTGCTTGCTTGGGGACTCTCCACATTCAGTCCAAAGGTTGATGTTGCCATCTCGTTTTTCCAGAACCGCTTTGGGCCGTTTTCTGAATCATTCTGAATCCCTGGAAAGAATCGGGGAAAGGTCGGAGAACGGCAAAGCAAGCAAGCAAGCAAGCAAGCAAGGCAGCAAGCCAGCCAGCAAGCAAGCAAGCAAGCAAGCAAGCAAGCCAGCAAGCAAGCAAGCAAGCCAGCAAGCAAGCAAGCATATCCAGCCACAGAAACATGCTAAAACACACACATCGTGGGCATATCGTGTAGAAAAGGAAATGGATCAGGCAAAACACATGTTCGAAACTAAGTTAGGAACACTTAGCATCAAAATCCTGAGGCCTGGAAATGAGAGCTTATCCTTTCGGAACCTTTTCCTCAGTGGTTCAGTGACCCTGAAAAAAAAGGGAACCCTTTTTTACGGGAAGACCGTTTTAGTGGGGAAGCCACCGACAAAAAAGGGGAAAAAGGGGGCCACTGAAGAACTGAGTGTCTGAAAGAGCAAGACTTGAACACCAAAGTAACAACAGGTGTGAGACACGCACGAAGCTTCATGCAGGCTGCCTTCGACCACTGCGTCACCGTCTGCAAGGCAAGCCTCAAGTGCCACGAGGACACCACGAGGACACGTCGGTCATGTCAGTTGGGTTCATGGTGCTGCTAAAGAAAGCCTGGCATTGCCGGCAAAAACGCACAAAGAATGCAACACATTTCAACTGCCGGCACATGATTCTACTACTGAGACTACTGGTTGAACTGCCTTGAGAGGGAGAAGTGGGGATCTCCGCAAACGTGAACAGGCACGCTTCCAAGCCACGAGAACTCAGAGTCTGCCAGCGTGCCCGTGGCCTGCAGAAACAAACGAGCGCGAGATGGGTTCGTCTTCCGCATGGGAACTGTGGAAACCTGTTGTTCAGTTGGATTCCAGTAGGATATCACAAAATCAAGCATGCTCGGCCCCCTTTGGCTTCCATCGAAAGCAAGCCGCAAGCAACAACTATCAAAAAGCAAAAAGCACGACCAAGTAACCGAAAAGGATTGAGTTACCCCTGCAATTCAGCATTTTTCTCCAGGAAACCGAGGGACCCCCAGAATGGGCGGCTTCCTTGTAGTTTCCCTTTCAACCAAACCTCCCCCCCCCCAAAAAAAAAAAGCCCCCTGAAAAAATACAACCCCTATATAACCAACCGGAAATGAGGAATCTCCATTCATGGGTGAGCTCAGTTGAATTTCCTATCGGCGAGCTCGTTGAAACCTGTCCGACCGGCACTAGGGAACTGCAATTCCTATTGAAGCAATCCTCATCCGCACCAGGCCCGGACCCTTTGCTGGTCACCATGGAAAAAAGGAGGCACTTCCGAGGGAAAGCTTCCAAATGCAAAGGATGAGCTTGGCCTTCCGATGAAAGAAAGGGCAACAGAAATTCACCGGAGTTCCCCTTCACTTGCAATTTGCTGGTTGGTTCCCATGAAGCTGCGACTTTTGGTGTGGAGATTCAGGGGGCCATCTGGGAAAGCCACTGGGAAAGATGCCAAAAACCCACACACTCTCAGTGGCCTTCGGCGCTTCGGCGCTTCGGATTCGACTCCATCGACTCGGCCCGCCTCGCCGGCGGCGGCCGGACACCGCGCAGCAGACTCCAACAGCAGCTGGGCGCCCTGCAGCAAGCTGACGGTCCTGACCTCCGTTCGATGCGTCTCAAGCTGAGTGCACCCAGTGAGTCGAGTCCCCATAGAGAAGCCGCCGCCCCAGAAGAAACAAAACAACCCCCAAATCAAGATGCACCCAGTGAGTCGAGTTCCCTGTAACCGCCCCCCAAAAGAAACAAAACAACAACCAAGAAAAAGACCTACCTTCATTTGGTTTAATGATGTTTAGCTACTATAGTGGCAACTGGGATCGCAGTGCTCGAGTCTGTGTGCTTTTTTGGCGCGCGCGTGCCGTTCGGTGTGAAGAGGCTGGGCCTTGGCTCTGGCATCCAAGGGGCATCCGTTTTCAAGTACTTGTGGACGACGTTTGACCTTGGCTAGCCAGGTCGCTATTGGACACTCATGACATGTCCACACCTCCAGTGGCAATGGGGAAAAAAGGGGCGCCTTTCGCTTTTGGGTAGCTTAATTCCGATTTGCTCAGGAAACAAAGCCCTTAACTGCGACACTACTAAATCGAAACAAATCGAAACAAATAAACACAGGATTGCAGAAACACAAGTCCGCTTTGCTTGCTACGATTGCCCGTGTTCTCCGCAATTGTTTGCCGGCTGGCAGCGTATACTCATCTGGCCACGTTCACGTCATACTTCTATTCATCCAAGCAGAACACCGACCAGTGCTCGCCACGAGAACATGTCACTTAGAAGGCTTTGAGGCAAGCACGTCGATGCCACCAATTTGCAAAACTGATTTTCTTGCAGCGGGGAATGACCCCGCTAAAACCATCCCTTGTGGCTTCCTTTAAGGGAATCCCTGGGTTCATTCCCACATTCCCTACCTATCACACCAGGAAGCTTTGCGATTTCGATTGGGCCTCTTGATGTAGGACCTCTGGAAAATATACGACCACCGACAGGACAAATCGAGCTGCAGCTGCTCCGGGATGATCAGCAAGGTGCCCCAGGCGATCTTTGGCTGTGACTCCGCGAGCTGTACAAGGTCAAAGACCGCTGTGGTCCTGCGCGCGGTCTTCCAATTGCTTCCCCGCACCCGAGTGCCAACTTGATCTGTGCACTAAAAAATATATGCTCATATTACATTTCATACTTCATGCACCTTGACATATTCAGACTTCTCTGAAAATGATCATTTTGAGGGTTTCATTGTGTTTATTTGCAAGGGGGTACAGTGGGGTACAGTAGGCGGGAGTGCGAGTTTTTCCCCAACCAGGAGGAGCTGCGATTTGCTTTACGGAAAGCTGCAACCCAGCGAATCAAAGGCTCAACCCCCCCCTTTTCAGGCCCGCCACGATTTCTGTTTTGCCCAAGTTGTGTTTGGGCTACGTGGCCACGTGCCAGAGATTCGGTCCAGGAAGTGGTGCATAGCGCCACGGCGATACTGGCCAAAGCGATCACCTGGGCAACAGGCTTCCAGTTTTGAGTACCGGCTAGAAGTCATCCCAGGGTGGTGGATTCCTGAAAAGGGAAACGGGGCAATCAAAAAAACGGAACCCTGGTTGATTTCCCGCAAAGGGGAACTTACGGGTTTTATTCTGCCCGAGGCAATGCAAAAAGGAACCCTGGGATGCAACTTGCTAGTCTCGCCTTTAAAGAGATATACGTGGAATCTGCACTGGGCAGATTGGGATACTGATGCACCAGCCTCAAATGAGGACCAAGACAAGGACTAAATGCAACATGGGCACGATTCGTGATCCACATCCCTTCAGTGGCGAACCCTCCTACAAAACAAGGACACCCACATGTGTCATGTGCCTTTTAGTGAGGGAACCGTGTCTTTGCTTGTTGGAGGAACGCGCAGAGGGAAGTGACAGCTTTTTAGGTTGGGGAAGAGCAAACAAACAAACAACACACAACCATATTGCCACCGGCACTGGATCCTCAGTGGACAGCATGAGGCCCCCCTTGCCTGGCAAACCATGTGAGTTGCAAAAGGGGCCCGCACCCTTGGATGTGGACCGGCAACCCTCCCTATGAATTAGGGGGCGGGACAAATTGCGGCTTTGTCAAACCTCACAATTACCCTTCACGCAGGGTGGTGGATATTTCAACGTGGCTGATTTCCCGAAAAGGGTACTTACGGGCTTTACTCTGCCCGGGGCGATCCAACCCTGGGATGCAACTTTCCAGCTCACCTTGAAATTTAAAGAGAAAAGTGGAATCTACACTGGGCAGATTAGGAACCAAAACAAGGACTAAATTCAACACGTCGCGATTCCTGATCCACATCCCTTCAGTCACGCTACAATACTGGGCCAAGAACCCATCCGTGGGTCAAGTGTGAGTTCTTTGAGCTCTGTCAGTTCACATGAGACGGGGTTCGTTCAGGGCGGGCTTTGCGTCGCTACAGAAGGGTCTACGTCGCTCACTTGCTTGCTCGCTCGCCCGATGTGCTTGCCTGCTCGCTGGCTTGCTCTCTCCTGTTGTCTGCGGGTCAGGCTGGAAGCGAACGGCTGGAACGTAAACTCGCGCACTGTCCACAACCTTCAACTGGTCAACTCAATCCTGTACCCTTCCCAAGAGAGAAATATCGAACTGGGCAACAGAAAGGCAGTGTTTTTTTTGTTTTGCCTTGGTGTGCTAGGGTCGCTGCATTTCTTAGCTGTAAGGAAATACAGCACCCACAACGCCAGCTCGCTGCAAGCTGGGAAATCATACTCCAATCAAACCATATCTTTGCCCTACAGTTAACGGTCGGTGGCCAATCTATATAATGCTGACCGAGAAGAATTGCCAACTTAGCCCCACATGAGTTTTGTCCCTGTCAAAGCCTTTGCTTGCCTCTTTTCAGAAGGGGGTCTGTGCATCTGTGTGGTTGTTGGTTGGAGTGAAGGGAGAAGGTCCTTTTGGGTCCCCGGCAAGTTTGGAGGTGGCACAATATGTCACTTATCAGTGCCAAAAAGAAAATTAAGGGCAAAAGCCTATCTTTTGACAACACCGCCATACTTTGAATCTTTCAAAGAGACCATTCTTTTCCTGCAAGCAAGGATGGAACCTACAAGGGCGGGGTCCAAAAAGACATTCATATAAAACCGATGGTATTAAAATCATTCCAAAGCCCGAACCAAGGGAGCCCCAAGTGCGGAGCCCTCGGCCCTCAACACAATCCCCGAGCACTTGTCTATCCGCCGATGAGCTGGCTATGCACTAGACAAAACGGACTAAAAGCAGTCGCGCAACAAATTGCAGCTTTGTTGGTTGAGTGTGTAGACGAACCCTCCTACAAAATAAGGAGACCCACACGTGTCATCTGTCTTTTAGTGAGGGAACCGGTTCTTTGCTTGTGTTCACGGAAACGCACACAGGGACGTTACTGTTCTTTTAGGTGGGGAAAAGCAAACAAACAAACAAACAAACAAAACACAACCATATTGCCACCGGCACTGGATCCTCAGTGGACAGCATGAGGCCCCCCTTGCCTGGCAAACCATGTGAGTTGCAAAAGGGGCCCGCACCCTTGGATGTGGACCGGCAACCCTCCCTATGAATTAGGGGGCGGGACAAATTGCGGCTTTGTCAAACCTCACAGTTACCCTTCACGCATGTTAGAGGAAAATCATACCCAAGACGAATCCCCAAACAAATGCAAGCACTTTAACCCAAAGGCTCCACGCAAGTAGTGGTTGCCTACATTTGCCACACAGATTCTCCAAATGTGGTAAATACCACCCCATCTTGAGCCTCAGAATGAGGGACACAGAATCAACAACCATATAGCCACCGCACTCGGCCACTGCAAAGGGCTCAAGGCAGGGCGCAAGCTGTTGCTTGGAGGGGTTCGTCCCCGACTGCGCGTGCTGCAGCAGAAACGGGACCCAGTCCTCGAGTTTGGAAAAACGAGCGAGCGAGCAAGCGAGCGAGCGGGAATCCCATGGGCGTTGCCACAGGTGTGAAACTAGACCAGCTGACAGGCTGCTGGCAAAAGCAAAGGGTGTACCTTGGTCCTCCTCCCTGGGACCAAAAAAGTGTGAGCTTCGCTACAGCATAGTAGGCCCGCTTTGTAAGTACTTCGCAGGGTCCTGAGAACTATTTATATGGAGGAGTTGAAGGAGCCAGTTGCCCAGTCTGACACAGGGCTCAAGTTTGCCAGCTCAAGGCACGGATGAAACTGGTCCAGGCCAGCGACCGGGACACAAACACACACACGGCCGAAGTCCCAAAAAGGGGGTTTTTGGCTCCATGTCAATCTGGAGGAGCCTAGCAAGCACCGATTGGCTTATTGTCCAACCATGACAACTGCAACCGGATCACCATGCTAAAGTGATTCCCCCTTTTTTGGGTATGGTTTTCCTCATGAATCCGAAGTTTGCATCACTCATCCCGTCAGAACACCCAAGGCCTGATTGTATAGAAATGGGCAGGGGGGAGCTGGGTGTTCCTCTAAAACTAATTCAGCTAGTTAAAGGGGCGCATCTTGTCCCAGCCAGGCTCCTTGAGGTCGCCCGCCGCAGGCTCCGCATAGCCTTGAGCAGCTTTCTGCACCCGCCCTTAGCGCGATCGGCGAGCCGAAGTTGGACAGGGGTGTGGGGTCAGTCGATGTCGGGGAAGTCCGTCCAACTGGTCATGACACTGCAATGTTCAATCCTTCCGGAAAAAATCTAAGCCCCTGCGCCTTTTTCTGACCTGCTGAGTTTGCTGATCAGAGAAGGCTTTAACTTTTTGGGCGCTCGCCCAAATGATGACCAAATCCGCCAACAAAGTCTTAATTGTGCCAACTCAACAGGGAATATCAGAGGGAATCCCTGGCAGTGGGTATAGAATTGCTTATGTTCATATCTGGATCACCCTGAAGGGTACACATTTTAGCTCTTGCTGCGAAAGCCTATGTACCCTCCGGGGTGTCCCAGGTATGTTTCATCCCAGGAAGCTCACAGGTCCGCGCCAGCCGTCGGATCGTCCGGCTGAAGGTACATGGCACCAATCGAGCAGCGCCCACACCCCCTTGACGGTTGTCTCTACCAAGATGGTGTTAACGCTTTGCATAGGCCTCAATCATCCTCCCAAACAGGAAGGGATGATAAGGATGGCCCCTATCTACTTTCACCCAAAGCCAAAGCCTGAACTCCGTGCAACCAAGACTCTGCTCAGAGTTTGAGCGCCAAAGAACTGCCTCGGGTTGGGATGAGGCGCGTGGCCACTCGTTTTTAACATGGATGAAAGCGTTTGTGCGTCCAGCTCCTGGCTTCCCTTTAAGGAGGGGCCACGTTTCGGGTCTGGTTGATGGAAAATCGTGCCCCGAATATGGAACCTGACCGGCGACCAAAACTCTGGGTTCCATGTTTGTGGATGGGAGGGTAAGGGTCTTAGAGGGATCCAATAATCGTCATCCATAACCGGTACTCAATGGGACCCACAGCATCCAGCTTCTTGGAAATTTTACCCATGGGAAGTAGGCTATATCCACGGTTCGACGGTTCGAAATGGGGTAAGGGCTGCTTCCCTCGTTGCCAATCCATTAAGTTTGCTCCATGTTAGCAAGGATGTGGTTACGTCCCTTTACTTTAGGTAAAGAGAAATGACTAAGCCCAAATTGGGGCATTGTGCCATCTGCCTTCACCAAACTGAAAGGGCTAGTTCCCTCATTTCGAACCACCCATTAAGGGTCACCCCCTCACACAAGGATTGCCGCATGTCCCCTTCAACCATCAACCCCCTTCAAAAATAAATTCCTAAACGACACGTCCAAAAGATGAAGTCAAAAAACCCAAAGGGAAACCACAAAGGACACCCTAAAAATTGGGTCCACATGTCAGGTCTGGTTGATGCTACAATGATTTCCCTTTGAACATCAGCCCCCTTCAAAGACAAGCTCCCGAAAATAACTCACAAGTTTGTCTGCCACAACCCTTGCTTCGCTGAGCGGTCGCCATGAGCTGTTGGACCCCTAAGAACAAAACAAGTCCAGGCCTTCCTTCTTCCGGGGAATGGATTGATCTTTCCCCGGCCAAAAGAACAACAACTCCAGTACCATTTAAAAGCTACAGGTGAAAATAACAACTCCAGCCGCCATAGGGTCACTTTAAAACACTATAAGGCCAAAAGCAGAACACCTTAAGCTCAATTGGACAATCTGGTCCAAAAGTTGGTCCGAAGCCAAGGCACACGTTGGGCTCCGCATCTCCCAGCAAGCTTTGGCTGATGCCCCACGCCGCGTCGGTCTCCTGAAAGTTCCGCAGCGCCGCGTCTGCCTGCTGCCGCACCGCCTGGGAGCATAGGGTTCTCCTCCTGCCCCTTGAAAGAGGCCCCCCAAAAATGAGGTTTCAGCTTCCCCCGGAAGTCAAAACTTGTTATCTACCACTAAAATGGTCTTTCCAAAGGAAAGTCAAAACTTGGTATCTACCACTAAAATGGTCCACACCCCAA